ACAAACGGGCACAGCCGTCCTGTGCTAGCGTGTCATCCCTGTCCTCGGGAGCTCCTGTCTGCAGGGGACACTGAGGCAGAGCCCAGGAAGGGCCGGAGGCCGGAGTGGGCTGGAGCCAGGGCCGCTGCTCCTTCCCCACGGATCCTCGCCCCGGCCCAGACCTTGGCCGTGCCCGTCACACCTGCTCCGAGGCCATCTCCCCGGCTCTGCTCTGAGCTCACGCGGCTCACCCCCACGGAAAGCAGGCGACCCTGTGGGGCAATGCGGATCTCGCACCAGCACCTGTCCCGGCGTCCACCGAGAACTGGGTCCTCTGGTGACCAAGGGGCTCCGCGAGGCAGAGCCTGAGCCCCCGCAGACTGGGAGCTTCCTGTGGGCAGGAGGAACCAACCCCATCAGGTTTAGTGTCCCAGGGTCAGCAGGGAAGGATGCCTTCTCCCTCAGACTGGAAGAGGGGCTCCCTGAAGGCAGTGAGGTGTCTTCTCTGCCAGACTAGGAGGGCCCCGGAGGCAGGAGGGCACTGCCCCCACGCCCCCCGATCGGGCTGCAGGGCAAGAATCTGACCTTCCCCATCAGACTCCTGAGGGGCAGGGAGCTGGTGCCTCCCTGCTATCCTCCCTCTGCCCTTCCTCCCCTGCCGGCAGATCAATACCAACCTGGGTGACGTGCAGTTCCTGGCCATCGACCTGGTCATCACCACCACGGTGGCCGGGCTCATGAGCCGCACGGGGCCGGCGCTGGTGCTGGGGCGGGCGCGGCCCCCGGGGGCCCTGCTCAGCGTCCCCGTGCTGAGCAGCCTGCTGCTGCAGGTGACCCTGGTGGCCGGCGTGCAGCTGGGGGGCTACTTCCTGACTGTGGCCCAACCCTGGTGAGTAGGGAGTCCGGCTCCCAAGTCCCACCCCTGCCCCGTCCTCCGCACACTCGTTCCCTGAGCCCCGGTCTTCGCGCCCCCAGGTTCGTGCCTCTGAACAAGACCGTGCCCGCGCCAGACAACCTGCCCAACTATGAGAACACGGTGGTCTTCTCTCTGTCCAGCTTCCAGTACCTCATCCTGGCCGCAGCCGTGTCCAAGGGGGCGCCCTTCCGCCGGCCACTCTACACCAACGGTGCCGCTGCCCGGCTGGGCTGCTGTGGGCGCAGGAGGGACGGGCTGATGGGGTCTGGTGCCTCGGGGGGGCCCCCACTGGGCATGCGTGGGAGGGGGCAGGGGCTCCCTGGCCTGATGCACGCCCTCACCCCCAGTGCCCTTCCTGGTGGCCCTGGCGCTCTTGGGCTCCGTCCTGGTGGGCCTGCTCCTGGCCCCTGGCCCCCTGCAAGGCCCGCTGGCGCTGAGGACCGTCGCTGACACCTGCTTCAAGCTGCTGCTCTTGGGCCTGGTGGCCTTCAACCTCGTGGGGGCCTTCATGCTGGAGGTGGGGCTCACCCTGGGCTCGGGGCGGCGGGGGCCCCAGGGCTAGGCCGCAGCCGCCGCTCTGCACCCCCTGTCCTCCGCAGAGCGTGCTGGACCGGTGCCTCCCGGCCTGCCTGCGGCGCCTCCGGCCCAGAAGGGCCTCGAAGAAGCGCTTCAAGCAGCTGGAGCGGGAGCTGGCCGAGCAGCCCTGGCCGCCGCCCGCCGCGCCGGTGAGGTAGTGCAGACCCCTCGGCCCCCCGGACCCTGGCCGTCCCTGCCTCTGAGCCACCGCCTGGCCCCCGTCGCCGGAGACACCACCGCCCTCGCGCCCGTAGCCCGGAGGTCGGCAGATGTCATACTCCTGCCCCGAGGCCGCCCGGCCCTCAGGTGGGGAGAGGCTGTTGCTGTCCCCCGTTCAGACATCCCGTGTAGAGACGACAGCCACCAACCCCCCCCTGCCCCCGGAGCTGTTGTTAGTGCAGCAAATAAAGTCGTAATATTTTCCGGGGCAGTCTGTCTCCCGCGTGGTACCGCTGACCGGGTGCCCGGCGGGTGGCCCCCCACGCGTCTGCTCCTGGCGCCCCTGGTTTTTCAGATCATGTTGGGCGACTCCCCTCTCGGGGCCTCCACGTCTTCATCTGACAGTAATGATGTTTTCGGGTTGAGCACGGGCCTCGTGCCCCGTTAACACCTCATGTGCGTCTTCATTCAATCCTCATCACTGTAGAGTCAGTCTTTTTTTTTTTTTAAGATTTTATTTATTTGCGAGAGAGACAATGAGAGACAGAGAGCATGAGAGGGAAGAGGGTCAGAGGGAGAAGCAGACTCCCTGCCGAGCAGGGAGCCCGATGCGGGACTCCATCCCGGGACTCCAGGATCCTGACCTGAGCCGAAGGCAGTCGCTTAACCAACTGAGCCACCCAGGCGCCCCCCGTTTTTTTAATTTTTTTTTTAAGATTTTATTTATTTGAGAGAAAGAGAATGAGCGAGAGAGAGAGCACATGAGAGGGGGGAGGGTCAGAGGGAGAAGCAGACTTCCGGCAGAGCAGGGAGCCCAACACGGGCCTCGATCCTGGAATTCCAGGATCATGACCTGAGCCGAAGGCAGTCGCTTAACCAACTGAGCCACCCAGGCGCCCTGTAGAGTCAGTCTTATCCCCATTTTACAGATACAGAAACTGAGGCTTAGTGGCCCCACACTTAGAGGTGGGGCCAGATCGCTCGGACTCCAGCATCCACGCTCTTCCTTCCTACCGTCCTGTGGGGGCAGCAAGAGAAGGGCCGTGCCTCCCACAAGTGCCAGAGCCTCCGAGACTTTTAACAGGGTCAGTTCCCTTCTGCCCCCTGTGCCCTGCCCCCCAGACGAGTTCGTGGTCTGGCTCCTCGCTCCAATGAAAGTCCAGGCTCTGAGCCCACGTCTCCCAGCCCGAACCACATGCCCTGCCCCCCGGGGAAGGGTGGGTGCTTCTGACTTCATCCCACCAGTGGGACACTGGCCAAGCCCTACTTTGGAGAGGCAACTTGGTCATTTGGCCCGTCGGTGCGGGGCAGGAGGGAGCAGGAAAGAAAGACGGCTTCCCGGCCTCCGGAAGCCCCCGCCGACCTCATTACCGGAAGCCCCGGCGCCAAACGAGGCCTGCCCTCGCAGGAGCTCAGTAAATGTGGACTCAAGCGGGGCAGGGATGTGGGGCGTGAAAAAGCAATTTATACGATGAGGCGCGTCCACAGACCTGCACCGGGCACAGCGTCATCAACCAGCGATAGTTCGGGGTGGCAGGTGCTGGGCAAGGGGAGGCCGGAGGACACCAGGAGAGGCCTGGGTTCGAATCCCTCCTCTACCCTTCGCCAATTTACTCGCCGTATATCGGACGGTATACAAGAAACTTGACCTCTGCCCGTGGACAGCTTGTAACCCGGTGGGAGAGGGGAGCAGGGAAGAAGCGAATCTCCAAGGCCGTCAGGAGAAGAGTACCCACACCCACCACCCCCTCCCTGCAGAACTGCCGCCTCTGCTTGGGTCCTTAGGGCCAGCGGAGGGGGTGGAAGCAGCAGAGAGGATCTGGGGGCCAGGACATGAGAGTGGGAAGCTTTGGGGTCTCCGTTTCCCCCTTTTGTCATGAGTGTAGGGGACAGCCTTTCTGCCAGCTCGTGTCCCCTTCTACCCTAGTGGGACTGTGGCTGGCAGCAGCCAAGGGCTAAGGGAGGGTGGAGAGGGCTGTGCTGGCCCCCAGGGCCCACAGGCCTCCAGGTAACAGAAGTCCTTGCTATTCTGTGATAGACCCTGGAGAGGGGGTGGCAGATATTCATTCATTCATTCATTCATTCATTCATTCATTCATTCCTTTGACAAACCAGCACCAGGGAACAAAGGATGCATGGGACATACGGAGTTTCTGCCTAATAGGATTCAGAGTTTAAGGGATAGGCAGTTGTGGGGTGCATGACTGGGGGCAAGGAGATCCCCATGTCCTCCCAGCCAGAGCTGCCGCCTCAGGCATGGGCTCCCCGGACCAGGCAGGGTGAAGGTCTGCCCCAGAGGCAGGGACCGACACCCCCCACCCAGCCAGTCTCTCCCAGGAGAATTGAATGCATATTCATTCATTCCATTAATGTTTACTGAACAGCTGCTCTGAGCCTGGCACTGTGCCTAATGAGCATAAACGGGGGGTGAGCAAACACAGACTTTGTCGCTGTCTTCATGTAGCTCACGAGCTCACGTGGGAGAGGAGCAGGATTCAAATGGGCACAGACGTAGGGCAAGGGGTCGGCTCAGCAGAAGGTGCTTAGGGGCGGAACAGGGAGAAAGGGAAGGCTCCTCTGAGGAAGGGAGGGTTTGGTCTATCACCTGAAGGAGGCGGACCTCATCGGTGTTGCAGGAGGAAGCAGCAGCTTGAGCAAAAGTCCTGTGGCAGCGGAGGAAAGGGCTTAGTGAGAGACTGCCAAAAGGCCACGTGGCTGCTGGGAGACCAGGCAGGGAATGAGGAGGCAGAGCCAGACGGAGATGAAGGGTGAGGTCCTGGGGGGGGGTCACAGGCCAGTTTAGCTTTTTTCCCAGGTGCCATGGGAAGCCAGCAAAAGGCTCTAAGTAGAAGGGGGCCAGCGTCTGAGGGGGTCAGGGAAGGCAGAGCCCACTTGGGAAGGCCTAGATGAGCGGTTATTACAGAGTCCAGGCAAGAGCTAATGGTGGCTTACACCACAGCGGGGGCAGTGCCCAGACTCAATCTCTGTGAAACGGGATTAGTGGCAGGGTGCTGGGCTGGGTGCTGGGCTGGGTGCAGGGGCGGAGAGCAAGGGAGGAAGCCTGAGGGATGGAAGGATGCTGGTACTGCTGCCCAGATGGGGACCCCTACCGGAGCCGGTCAGGAGGCATGAACTTGGACTTGGATCCTCGTTGGATCCTTGTTGCCTTGGGGACGTTCTTGGGGCCAGGCCTGGTAGCCTGTGGTGCACGGGCGGACAGCAGTGCTGATTCTGGAAGCCAGCCCCCACCTGGAGCTGGCGAGGGAGACCCAGAAGGCGTTGCCAGAGAGGCAGGAGGGAAAACAGGTCAGAAAGGCTGTCCCGGAAGCTAAGAGAAGCCAGAGGGGAGAGAGCTGCATGGCCGTGGGCGAATCCCCTTTGGGGGACTCGGTTTCCTTCTCTGTGAAATGGGGTAACACGTCCTCCAAAACCCACCTCACACCAGACCGCAGCCCAGACGTGGCGAGGAAACGGGGCAGGCGTTCTGCCCGCCTGAGGTCTGCGCGCCGACGTGAGGGTGGCCCCGGGGGCGCCTCCCCCAGGGCCGCCCCAGAAGCGGGCTGGAGCCCCGCGGGCGCGGCGGGCGGGCGGAGCTCGCGTTAGGACCCAGCAGCTCCGGGGCTGGAGGGCGGGCGCCGACCCGTCGGGGGCCCGGAGGGGGGCTCGGAGCGGGCGGAGGGGCGGCTCCGCGGGCGGACTCGGAGCGGGCGGCGGAGTGACCCGACCAGGTAGGCGCGGGCCTGGCGGCGGGGGCCACTAAGGGGCCCCGGGGGGTGGGGGGGCCTGGGGTGCGGGGCTCCGCAGGCCCCCGGGCCTGGGGGCGGCTGCCGGGCTTCCTGAACCCCGGGGCCGTCTGAGCAGATGCTAAGAAGGCACTTGGGGACTTTGGAGTCGCTTGGAGGGGGGGCCCGAGTTCGGAAGAGTTTGGGGGAGCCCGAGTTGGGGCGTCGGGGCGCGGGGGGGCTCTCGTTCGCCCCGGGAGGCTGGACTGCCGCGGGTGGGGTGGAGGCGTCGGCGGGAGCGGCCGGGCCACAGCCGCGGAGAGACAAAGGGACAGCCGGGACCGGGAGGGCGCGGGGAGCTGCCAAGCCAGCTTGCAGCTGATTGTTCCCAGCTGTGCGCCGCCACATCTGTCTCCCCCCCGCCGCTCCGCAACCGGCGCCCCCCCACCCTCGCCCCGGGAGCGTGGGGTCCGGGGCTCTGAGTAGGCCCCGCTCATCCCCTCCTGCCCATGATCGCTTGGGGTGGGGTCCCCAGCTGTGGAAGGGGCCAGAAGGGGGCTGCCTCCTAGGCAGGTCCCGGCCTCCCCCACACCCCAAAATCCATAGTCTAGACAGAGGTGCTTGGAGATGTGGTCCCCCCAGGAGGACCCGTTACCCCCACACCCCTTGCCCTTGGGGCGCCTTCCCCCAATAAGCCTGGGCCTGGGTGCCAGAACTTCCTGGGGAGGAAGACTCCATGCAGGAGGCTGAGAGGCCTAGGAGGGGTTTGGGGGACAGACAGCTCCCACCCCACCTCTTACGACCCTGTAGGCCCCAACTCAGGGCCTCCTCCCGGGTGGTGACAACTCCAACTGGCCTGCTGCCACCAGCCCATGGGGACAAGGAGGGGATAGTGAGGCCTTGCGGGGAGTTACAAGGAAAGAGCTCCAGGTCTTTCGGTCCCTCCTACCATGAGAAGGCCAAGGGTTTTCAGAATGGGACTGTGGGGAGCCAGATGTGCCCAGCCTCTGGGGCAGCTCGAGTCCTGGGTCTCATCTCCTCCACCCCACCCCAGCCCAGTAAAGAAGGGAGGTGGTGAATGGATGAGCCAGGCGGGGGGTCCCGGAAGGCTCAGGATTGCGAGGGAAGAGGGACCGATGCCCACGTTTCCTTCCCCTCTCCCTAGACGCCCGGGGGCAGTTAGGGGTCCAGTTAGCTGTCTGGAAGAACTCCCTTCGCTGTGGTGGGAGGGGCCCTCCTGGGAGGACCCTGGGCTCTCTCCCAGCACTGTCGGCGGAAGGATGACAGTCCGGAGACTGCCTCCCACTGAGCCGGGACTGCACACGGGGACCTGCAGACCCGGCCAAGCCCACGGTGTGGCCAAAGACTGCAGTTCTGGAACTTCAAGAGCCTGGTGAAGGCTAAGGACCACTGTTCCCTCCCCGCAAAATGACCCGTGTAACACTTGTCATACAGTGTTAGGGGGCTCAGAACCCCTGGGCCGGGTGACATCACAGTCCCTCCAGCACTGCCCTTCTAGGATCCAGAGAAACTCTCCTCAGACTCCACCCTAAGTGTTTCCTGCTGCGGCAGACAAATAGACCTTAGTCTCGTGAGCCTGTGATGAAGACAGCCAGGTCTTAGGAGGCCTGGCGGCCTGGCAGGAGAGGAATCTTCGGGGGTGGGAGCCCTGCCCAGGCCTGGCTGCCCTTCGGCCCCTGGGGCCCATGCATGCATGTGGTTTCCTGCAGAGCAAGACACTCAGGGCCCGGGGGCTAATTGGGAGCAGGTTGTGGGTTTGGCAGACGCTGCGGAGTCCCGGCTGTGAGGGTGGCTGAGCGGGGCCGGGGTCCTGAGGTTGGGCCTGGGGTCAGGGGTTCACATGATCAGTGCATGAGACACCAGAAGGCGCTGAGTCAGAAGGTGGGCATGCCCGTGGGCTGGGAGAGTGGAGTCAAGGCTAGTGGGGGGCTAGAAAGGGCCCCTTAGTGAGAAAGGCAGGGTGGGTTCTGTCCCTTTGCTGGATCAACCCTGCAGCAAGGTTGGAGGCCTTGTCCCTTGGGACCTGAACACCCAGTGGGCCACAGGCGACAGCAGATGGCCCTCCAAAGTAGCTCCCCCTGCCCCGCCCCGCCCGACTCCTGGCCCTCCCTATGCCAGGCTTCCGTTCAGCGCCTCCTTCTCTGGGCTAGATGCGGGGGAGCGGAGGTGGGCTCCGCAGTCCTGGGTGAGTGGGCCTGAGCTACAGCTCGCCCCTCCTCTTCCTCCAGCTGTCCCGACACCAGCCCAGACTGCCTCACCTCGTAGCCATGAGAGCTGCCTACCTCTTCCTGCTGTTCCTGCCTGGTAAGTGCTCCTGGGGCTGGGGGGCTCCCCCCGGCATGGGCGGAGGTTGGGAGCTGGCGGTGAGCCTTTATTGGGCCCTGTGGCCAGAACTCAGCTCCCCGGGTCGCAGGGCCTCCGGCCTCCTGGACCACAGACTGACCCTGGACCCCAGGCCCTCACCCCAACCCCCCACAGAAGCAGCCAGGCTGGGGCTCTGGAGAGTAGGCATGCACCCAGGCACCGGGAGCCCATGCTTTTCCTCTAAAGTACTGACCCTCCTGGGAGCCGATGTGTAGGAGGGAGAGGTACGCAAGGCAGGGAGTCTCTAGAGAGGTCTGGGTTCTAGACCCATTTGGGACCCAACCACCCTATACAATTTTGACCGTGGAGTGATCCCTATTGGTCAAATGAGGAGTTATCAGTGGGGATCAAAGGCCCTGCCAAGTCTAACATTTATTAATGTAACAGATACTTGTTGAGCTCCTACTATGTGCCAGGCACCGGCCTAGACTGGGGATACAGTGATGAACCGGGCAGACACATCCCTGCCTTCGTTGCTGCCCGTCTAGGGAAGGGCAGCTGACATATCAAGTCCATGTGATAAATGTCAGTGTGTCGAGTGCTGTGATGGAAACAGAAGAACGGGATGGAGAGGGTGGATGGGCCAGGGAGGGCCTCTTGGCAGGACTGAGTTTTTAGTTGAGACCGGAAGGAGGAGAAGTTAACCAAGATCACAGGCCTAGGGAAAGTCAAGTGCAAAGGCCCTGGGGCAGACAGGAGTGTGCTGAGTTCCAGGAATAGCCAGGAAGCCAGCATGGGGGTAACAGGCCAAAAAAGGTCAGTGAGGTGACAGAGGAGCAAGGAGTGTAAGGACCTTTGTGCTTGAGGAAGGAGTTTGGATCCCTTGGATCTAAGAGTCTAGTTGTAGAATCTTAGGGTCTTGCCGGCCTGCCCTTGGGACCTCTACTCATCCTCCCCAGATGTGCCTCAGGGCCCCTGCTCTCCTGCCCTGCAGGGCACCCCCTCATACTTTGCTTCCTCACAGCAGGCCTGCTGGCTCAGGGCCAATATGACCTAGACCCACTGCCCCCGTTCCCAGACCACGTCCAGTACACCCACTACAGTGACCAGATAGGTAAGGGCCTTGCCCCGCCCAGGTCTCCCCACACCCTGCCGGGTGTGCCTGACTCAGCTGGGGACCCGGTGGGAAGGGAGGTGGGAGTCCTAGGGTGTGGTCCTGGGTTTAGCCGTGACCTCCTTGGCCCCTGGGACTGAGAGCTCACCCGACCCCCCACAATTCCGTATTCGTCTTTGTTCTCAGACAACCCGGACTACTATGATTATCAAGGTAAAGGACTGGGCCGGGGCAGGGCGGGTGGGTAGGCAGCTGGGTGCGGGGGTGGAGAGAATGGAGCGGACCACCTGATCGTGCCCCGTCTCAGAGGTGACTCCTCGGCCCCCCGCGGAGCAGTTCCAGTTCCAGTCCCAGCAGCAAGTCCAACAGGAAGTCATCGCGGCCCCCACCATAGGTAGGCTTCCAGCTCCTGGCGGCCGTGGGAGTGGCGGGTCTGTGCCAGGGTGGGGCAGCTGCTCTGAATGGACCCCTCTCAGTGATCTCTGCCTGCCCCTCTCCCAACACCAGCTCCAGGAAATGTGGAGACAGAGCCCACGGAGCCTGGGCCTCTGGGTAAGAGCTTCCCTGACAGCTGGAGAAACAGAGGCACGGCCCCAGGAGTCGGGGTAGAGTGGGGCGCGGCGCTGGTGGGACGGGGACAGCCGGGCCTTTGGCTTTGGCTGGGTAGATGATAGGGTCAGCGGCTTGCACACATGCCCCTGCTTTAGGCCAGCAACTCCAGGGCCCCTCGGGCTCTGGACACCCTTGCCCCCGGGCTTGGCTGCAGGCTCAGGAAGGGCCCTCGACCCCCAGACACTGGGGAGAGGAAGGGAGCGTGCAGGGGGCTTCCTGCCTGCCGGCCAGCAGGCCCAGCTGGTGCCCGGGGCAGGTGAGGCCAAGAGCGGAGCCCCTGTGCTGCCCCCACGAGCCTGCGGGAGCCGGAGCGCGAGGCCGCTGTCCCCCTCGTGAGCTCAGTGTTAGGGTGCGGTCCTGTGAGCGTGCACAGCCCTGCCCGCGGGGTTGGTGTGGACTCCTGTGATCATGTGAGTGTGGGCGTGGGCGTGTTTGAGCTTATTCGTGTCCTAGTAAATGCTTCCAAGTGTGGTTGCTGCTCTGTGCACATATGAATACCTTGTACAAAATCGGGCAGCCCCCCGAGGCCCGGCCAGGCTGACTTCGGTGCACGCCCGTGTGCGTGTGCGCCCCGGGCCGGAGGGCGCAGGGTGGACCTAGACCCTGGTAGGAGGGCCAGGCTTGGTGGGCAAAGTTGGGGCCCCCCGCCAGCTCGGGGCCCCAGGCTGCAGCCCCCCCCCGTCTGATCCCGCCCATCCCCCAGACTGCCGTGAGGAGCAGTACCCATGCACCCGCCTCTACTCCATCCACAAGCCTTGCAAACAGTGTCTCAATGAGGTCTGCTTCTACAGGTGAGCACAGGCAGGGCGGGGGCAGGGGGTGCAGCGGGGGCACAGGGCGGGCGGCAGCACCCGGCCGAGGTGGGACTTGAGGGAAGCGCGAATCCTGAAGTCGAGCCCAGACGTAGGGGTCCCCCAGTGGGGCTGGGTGAGGGTGGGGTGACGCCCGGCTCCGTATCCCCAGCCTCCGCCGCGTGTACGTGGTCAACAAGGAGATCTGTGTCCGCACGGTCTGTGCCCACGAGGAGCTCCTTCGAGGTAGGAAGGCCTACACCCCTAGACCCCTCCCCGCCCCCACCCTCCCACCTGGTGGTGATTAAGCATGTGTTCTGCGCCAGGGCCACTTCAGGGGGGATCCTGAGCCCCCTCCTGGCTGCTCAGCCTCGGAACATTCCCTGCCACAGGGTGGAGAAGGGGCCAGTGGTTTTCCGTCACCCGGCCCCACCCTAACCCCAGCTCCTTGCCCCCACCGCAGCTGACCTGTGTCGGGACAAGTTCTCCAAATGTGGTGTCATGGCCAGCAGTGGGCTGTGTCAATCCGTGGCGGCCTCCTGTGCCAGGAGCTGCGGGGGCTGCTAGGGCCGAGCTGGTACCCCCATCCCCCACCCCCGCCCTGGACCTTCCTCGGATCCGGGGCCCTCAGGCCCTGCCTGACCTGGTGCTTTTCTCCCCAGCCTGACAACCCTTTTATTCTGTAAAAAGTTAGTGGACTGTGGCCCTGGGGGTTCGTCTCAGGCCCCTCTCCCAGCCTGCAGACACCCCTGCGGCACAAGGGGGGCTCCCCACTCTTCACCCCCTGATGAGGGGCATCCCAGGCCTCTGGGTGGGACCTGGGCCTCTGATGTGCCTTCTCAGTCCCTCTGAGGACAGTCCCCTGGCCCCTCAAGGTAGGCTATGCCCCTCACCCCAGCTGGTCTGCTTGGATTTCCTACAGCTCCCGGGCATAGACCACCTTTGTTTTATATAAAATTAAAATTGTTTTTACAAAAGATTCAGTCATTTTTCAGTTGGGAGCCAGAGCGGGTGGCCAGCTGCCTCCGACTGCTTGTCCTCATTGAGAGGCTGCCTGGGGAGAAGGGACCATTCGGGTGACCTGTGGCCTTGCCTCTGCGGTCCCAGTCCTGCCTCCTCCCCCACCGGCTTCAGCGGACCCCCCCCCCCAGAAAGATGGACTGGGACAACTTTCCTCCCAGGGTCTGTGGGGGCATGGCGGGGGATACAGCTTCCTCATTGTTCAGGCTGCTTGGTGAGGGCGTGAGTTCCCTGTCATCAGAGGGGTACAAGGGGTACAAGCCAAGACGGGAGGCCGCCTCCAAGACATGGAGGCATAAAGATGCACATAGGATATAAAGCAGGAGGTCAAGGCAGGTGGATTCAGATCCACCTTTGGGGGAAGGCTGGCGGTTCAGAGGGCAGAAATAGGGCAAGGCATTAGAATGCCTCCCTCTGACCAGCTCGGGAGGACCAGGCGCCCCGTGCGTGGCCAGCACCCCCTCCCAACGGGCCTGGGAATGTCTCCGTCTTACAGACAGAACGCCCAGGGGCAGCAGGTGACCCACCAAGGGTCCACAGCTAGAGGTGGCAGAGCTGGGGCAGAACCTGACTCCACTGGACTCCAGGGAGGACAGGAATTTCTCCTCACGAACACTGAGCACCTTGCTTGAGTACCTCCTCATAACCACCCTGAGGCGCATCCCCATTTTACACACGAGCAAACTGAGCCTCTGAGAAGTTGTGCAGTTTCCTGGGCTCACCGGGCGGAGCCAGGACAAGACCCCAGGGTCACTCCCAGGCCTGGAAGGCCTGCCACTGTCCAGAGGGGGGCCCTGTCCTGAGGAGGGGCCAGAGAGCTGTAGCTGGAAGGAGTCGAGCTGTGCAGTTTGGGTCACGGCCCCATCTGTTACCTGGGACGGGTGGCACGGGACCCCGGGGCCCTCCCCGCGCCGACATCCTGTGAGGCTGGGAAGTGCCGCAGCCCTTCTCAAGCCCCCCCGCCCCGCCGTGCACCCCTGGCCAGGGGCCTCATCCCTCCCGGCTCAGGCCCCAGTGTCTCCCCCCACCATCTCTCAGGTGCAGAAGTGAAGAGACGCGTCTGTACAAACCGTTTTTAGAAAATGAGGTCTCCTTGCTACAAAAAACAGTTCTGAACCGTTAACACTGAAAAAGGTATAAAAATACAGGGACTCTGAACTCTGAGGAATTTCCTGACACACACTCTAAACTAAGGCAAAGAGAGCTCTGGAAAGCTGGGGGAAGGCCTGGGTCTCTGACTCCTAGGCTCCCCTCCTCTTTCCTGAGTCCATGCTCCAGGGCCAGCCAGAGGCAAGGGGGCCTCTGTGACCCCCGGCTTCGGCTCAGCCACTCAGGGAGGCTCTCATGGGACCTGGAGGCTCATCCCAGGGGAGGGACCAGACCGAGGTGGGACCCACGGATGATGCCAAGAAGCTGCTGCTGGAGTCTCCGGCCCTCAGCCCTCGGTGCTGCCACCTGGCTCCTCCCCACCCCCAGCCGAGTTCTGGCGGCCCGGACAGGCCAGGGCCAGGGCAGACCGCGTGGACAGATGGCTGATGCTGCTCTCCAGGATGCCCACCAGGAAGGGGCTCATTCCCCTGAGGGGCCAGACATGGGGGACAAGGATGCTGAGCTCCTCCGAAGCTCCTGTTGCAACTGTCCCTTCAGTGTGGACACCTGGAGAAGAAAGAGAAGGTGAGGCCAGCCCGGCCGGCCCAGGCCCCCTGCCTGATGTCAGAGAAATGGGGGTCGCTGCAGCTGGGGCCCCACAGGGGACCTGATCCTGCCTGTTTCAGGAAAAAGTGGGTCTCATGAAGCACCAGGATGCTTCTCTCCCCTCCCATTCTGTCTCACAGGGCAGCTGGCTGTCTTCTGACCGCTCCTCGGCATCTCTTCAGGGGCCACCTGTCCCCACTCTCATTATTTAAGTAGGCCTGGCGCTAGCCCGACTGGGGGGACCCATGACCCAGGCCTGGCCTACCCATGCACAGGTCAGGTCAGGGATCTGGGATCCAAGCTGGCCAGTAAGGATCATCCCTGGGACTTCTGCTATTGCTCTCAGGAAAAAAAGGCCCCCGTTCCTCTAGGATGGTGGGTTGCTGGGATAACCTAGGCTGGGGCTGCTCGGGTCATCTGTGCCACCCAGCGGACAGCCACGAGGATGGAGTTCCAATGACATCACTTGAGCCCGTGTCCGGACCATTTCAGTCACGGGTGCCGCTGACTGCTTCTACGGGGGTCGCGGCCAGCCCTCTGCTGCTCCCCCCACGTTTCCACATCCTGCGGAGGGGCCTGGGTACCTGCTCCTCCAGCCCGTGTACCCGCTGCTGGTGGGCCCGCTCCCGCGCCTCCAGCGTGCGCTCTGTCTGCACCTGGGCCTGCGGGCGGGGCGGCTAGTCAGGGGTCTGGCCCTGTGTGTGTGCGCGCGTGCGTGCAAGGGGATGTCGGGCACCTCCCAGGAGCCTAAAGGCCCCTCCGGGCAAAGTCAGTGCAGACGGGGGTGCAGGAGAGATCCGTGTTTGTCCCCCACGTTCCTGGCCCACCTGGTCTGCGAAGCCTGGCTCAGGGTACCCAGCGAGCCCCACTGACAGGCAGGCACACCCACGCGCAGACGTGGTCAAACACAGAGACAGCCCCCCCCCCCCCCCCAGGCACAAAAGCAAGCACGTAAATACTCACCGGGCTCACATGGATGCACGCATATGTGCAAAAGCCCAACACTGCTACATCTACATACAGGAAGACGTCTGTACACAAAGACACACACACGTAAAACACGTTCCTAATACTTCGACTTGCCACGTCTGTGCACAAGACTCACGCTACATGCACGAGAACACTCCCAGGCACACTCACACCTCTGCATGCCCACAGCCTTCGCGCACACAGACTCACAGCTAACTGGCTTCTCTTTTCTCTCCACGCTGGGGAGGACCCCTCCCCCTGGCTCTGGGCTGCCCCCCTCCAAGGGTCCGGACTGGTTATGGAGGCTGAGGGGCCTGGGCTGGCTGAGCCACCAGCAACTCCCGGGGCAGCTCGGCACTCAGGCCGAGGGCAGGGGCGGGAGGTGGGGGTCCGGGTCCAGGGCTTGGGGGAGAGAGGGTAGCCGGGGGCTGGACCTCCAGCAGCTGGATCTGCCTCTGGGCCTCAGCCAGCTCCAGCTCGGCCCCCGTGAGCGTGCGGTCCAGGCGGCCCCTCTCGGCATTCAGCCGCACCGTGTCCTCGTGGCTGCGAAGCTTCTCGCGCTCCACCTAGGCAGGGAGAGCAGGAGGGCAGCAGGGGGCCCCGGGAAGGAGGGAGGTCCCGCCGAGATGCGGGGGCTCAGGGAGGGGTGTCAGGTTAGAGGCAGCAAGACCAGGGGGCCAGGGAGCACCCGAGGCCCCCAGGCCCTGGGGACACGCGGCCAAAGGCAACCCCGGCTACGACCCAGGGGAAGGGAGGGGAGGGCCCTGGAGGCTCCGCCCACCTTGTCCAGCATCCTCCGGAGGGCCGCCCGGTCCTTCTCCAGCCGCAGCGCTGACCGCTCCACCTCCCGCTTCTCGGCCTCCAGCTGGGCGAGCTCGGCCTGCAGGCTGTCCAGGCGCTCCTGCAGCAGCCGCCGCTCGTCGCGCAGCTTCTGGACCGTGTGCAGGGCCGCAGCCTCCCCGTCCTGGCGCTGCCGCAGCACCTGCAGAAGCCAGCAAGCCCCTAGCGCCGCCGGCCCTAGCTCGGCAGGGCGGCTGGGAGGCCCACGGCAGACACCTATCACCTGAGGCCGCCTCTCCGGGCCTCGGCTTCTCCATCTGTGTAATGGGGGTGTGGGCTGAAGGAACCAGGGTTCCCCAGGGGAGGCTGGGCCTGGGTCTGGGAGGAGGCCAGGATAAGGAAGGTCCCACTCCATCCGGAGGGCCTCAGCGTCCCGGGGACAGGAGGGGCCCATTCCGGCCCTCACCTCCTGAAGCTGTTGTAGCTGGCCCTCTGCCTCCGCCCGCTGCAGCTCCAGGTCCGCCAGCTCGCCCTGCATCGTCTGCACCTGCTCGCCCAGGGAGCCGCTCTGCTTCCGTGCCTCGGATAACGCCTGCCGAGCGGCCTCCAGCCGTTCCTGGGGGACGGGGGCTGATGGGGCCAGGATGGAGCAAAGGCTCCCTCTCCTCTGTACCTCCGGGTCAGGGTCACAGCCCGTAAAACAGCTCAAAGATCTTATCTGAGGGCGAGGAGGACAGCAGGCCTGGCCCACTGACCTACATAAGGTGGGGACCCCTCGGACCCCAACTCTGTCCCATCAACCCTGCCTCTGGGTGTCTGTAAGCCTCTATGAGTAGACTTATTCTCTTATTGCTCCCCCAAATCTCCTCTTATTGGCAATGCTTTTATTGGGCCCCCCCACCTCCAAGCCTCACTGACTGGCTCCCTAGGGTTCCCGACTGATGGCCCCAGGGGCTGGCTCTCTATCAGGGCCCCTCCAAGCCTGCCCTTGGCGGCTCTCTCACCGAGCCCACCCCGAGCCAGGCCCCGGAATCCATACTTGCAGCACTTGGCGGTCATGTTCGCAGGCGGTGAGGGCCTTCTGCAGGTGCAGATTCTTGTCCTGGGTGCTGGTAAGGCTGGCACTATTCTGGGCCAGGGTTTCGGTCAGGCCCTGCACCTTGTCCCGCAAGGCCCCCTCGCTCTCTTCCACCTTGACCAGGGCCCCACTCAGCCGTTCCACTGTCAGCTGCAGGGTCCCTGCTTTCACCTCACTGTCTGTCACCTGGCAGGAGGACAGACAGGATGGTAAAGTGGCTCTGCTCTCGACATGGCCTCCAGCAGGGAGGCTGAACCCAAGCCAAGCCCCTCCCACTCTGCCTAGGCCTTCATCACTGATGCTCATTATTCCCATGTGCTCCCGCAGGCTCAGCCTACTGCAACCAGGGCCCTGGTCCCACTGCTGGTTAACTCCCCTCACCTGGAGTGCCACCCACCTGGTTGTCTCAGACCCCACGGTCTCCTCCCCATTCTCATTCCCTTCTCCTCCCTGCTATGGAAGAGAAGGAGTAACCACCACAACCACCACAAACTGGAAATGTTCTGTGTTCTTGACTTTGGTGGGTGACTGTGCAGGGCTCGCAGAGTTACTGAACAGTCTAAAGCTGAGCTTCCTGGCAGCCAAGGCAAAAAGGGACATGAGTGGAATCTACAACTCTAACTTGTCCCACCTGCTTCCTAGAAGTGCAGATTCTATTGTCAGAGTCTTAAACTCGGATTCTGTCTGTGTCTCTTACTAGCTATGTGATTTTGGGTGATGATGTCATGTCTGAGTCTCTGCTTGTCCATCCATGAAATGAGGATGACGCTTGCTTCACAGGGTTGCTGGGAGTGTTATGGGGTCCGTGTAAAGCACCTGGTGCTGGGCGTGCAGATGAGGAGCCTGCAGGCAGTGGTGGGGACCCACCTGTCTCTGCAGGAAGTCCACCCGGTCCTGGAGGACCTGGGCCTGAGCCTCACGGTCACCCAGGCCCAGGCGGCTGCGCTGCAGTTCCCCCTCAAGCGAGCGCCTCTGCAGCTCAAGCTTGATGGTGCGGCTCTCAGAGGCGTCCAGCACCTCCTTCAGGCGCCGCTTGTCGCTCTCCAGCTTCACCTCATTGGCCTTCATCTGGCTGACTTTCTCCTGGGGATGCGGAGGGATCAGGCCCCAGCTGCCTGGCCGCCCCACACCTCTCCCCACCCCCTCAGGACCTTGAGGGGGCTGGTCCAGCCACTCCCTGTGTGACCTGGGGCCGGCCTGTGACCCTCCTGAGGCCTCAGTCTCCCCCTATGTTTGAAGGATGGGTTGACCTGAGGATCCCAGAGCACATTCTGGTTTGGGCTGTGTCTAACAGGCTTTGTGATCAGGTCTCTGTCTTCCTGCTCTGTGGCCCTATTTCACATCTGTATAGTGGGGAGACTGCACTGCCCAGGGGCACCACAAGGTATTCACAGAGCCCTGGGGAGGGGGGGGTAAAAATGCAGATTCCAGGGCATCCCCTGCTCTGCTGCGTCACTCTCCAGAGGCAGGCCCGGAAGCTGCATTGTGTGAGCTGAGCCGGGTGGGAGCCCTGGGCCCTACCTGGTTTTAGGGGATGATGTTCTTCCCTCCCTCACACAGGGTCAGACAGTAAAGGAAGCTGGGGGGGGGACAGGACCGGAAGACAGACTGGGGCCCTTCCATTCCCATTCCCATCCTATTACAGCCAATACAACCCCGCCCCGGTCTGGCCCCCCTGTTGCCGTGCTCAGAGCCCCATGTCTGCCATGTCTGGGCCTGGCAGCCACACTCTGGCCCCTGCTCAGCTGTGTTCCTGGCCTCCCCGCCCTGCTGCGGCCCCCGCGGCCGGGCCCAAGGCCAGAGCTGGAACCACAGACATAACAATCCTGCTCAGACTGACCTGGAGCCAGAGGCAGGGGGTGGGGGCAAGGATGGAGGGGGAGGGAAGGGGAGGGAGCGAGGGGGAGAAAGGCTCAAGGCGTTGGTGGCCTGGACTGTCACCACCAGGGCCAGGGTGCCCTGCCTCAGACACACACACCCCCACCCCACCCCCAGAAAAAGTCCAGAGCACGACTCGTGTGGCTACACAGAGACAAAGGAAACGGAGGGCCCCCGAACACTGTATGTTAAGACCCTTCAAGCATCATCTCTGGGAGACAATGGCTGGTGTCCCCCGTTTACAGAGGAGGAAAATGAGAGCAGGCAGGCAAGCAGCCGGGCCAGGACTTGAACCCAGGCTTTTCTCCTTCAGGCTCAAAAGCCCAGGCCTTTTCTTCTACGGCCTAGTGACCCCGGGGAGGAACAGAAGAGTGGAATCTGAATGTGCTTCTGGACGGAGCCACAGGCTGGTCACGTTAGCAGGTGCTGTGACCCAGACAGACAGCAGCAGAGAGGAGCACAGTCGGACCCACAGCCGCCCCCGCCCCGGCTGGCCCTCAGCTCCCGCCTACCTGGCTGGCCCGGAGCTCGCTCTCCGTGGCCTGCAGGCTCCTCTCCAAGGCGGCCACCTGGCCCAGGGCGGCCCGGCGCTCCCGCTCGCTGCGGCGCACGCTCTCCTCCTGGCGCACCAGCCGCGCCTGCACCCCGCTCAGCCGTCCGCTCACGCCACGCCGGGCTGTGGCAGCCCAGCCCCGTCAGGCCCGGCCAGGCCTGCCCTCCACCCACCACAGGGCCCTCGAGGGCCTGCCGGTCTGGACACACGGAGTGGGACTGATTAGGGGGGGTCCCCCAGAGGAGACAGGACATGGTGGCCAGGGCAGGGATGCAGGAGCTGTTCAGGCCAATCCCACAGGTCCCGCCACGGCTGCTAAGAGCACAGAGAACAGGACAAGGACCCAGGGGGTGACACTCACCTTCTTCACTGTCGGCCACAGCCTTCTGCAGCTGCCTCACCCGTGACGTCGCATTGTCCCTCTCGGCCTCCATCTCGGCCAGCTGGCGACTCAGGGTGCTCATCTGGGCCTGAAGCTCATCCTGAGGCCCCAGCGTCCGGGGAAAGGGAAGACCTCTGCTCTGACAACCCGCAGCGCCCTGTAGGGCCCTGGGCCACCCGGTTCCCTCTCCAGCCACTCACACCCAGCCTCGCCCACACCCAGCCTCACCCGTTGTCTCTGGGCATCCCGCAGCTCCTGCAGGAATTCCCGGAGGGCCCCTCGCACTGCCTCGGGGTCCAGGTCTGAAGATGCCGGGGAGGTGGCAGGTCCGGGGGATGGTGGCTCAGACCCAGGGCTGCGTTCCAAGGGGCTGGGGCTGCTGAGCCCTTCGCCACTTCCTAGGGAGGAGGTGTGCTTAGGGGTGCAGGAGCCCGGGCCTCTCCTGCCTGGAAGGGGCCTGCAGGCTCCTCGTACACCACCTCACCCACCCTGCCGCACCCAGCAGCTCGCATGAGCTTCCCGCTGCATACTGGGTCCCTCACCCTCTTGCTGAACCCTTCCCAGGCCCCACGGCCCTCAGAATAAAACCCAGCATCCTTGCCATCACACAGAGGCCCTGCTGCTCACCCTAGCACAGCCCTCTCACCTTTACAAGCTGTCCATTCCGCATTACTCTCAGGTCCCCCTTCCAGCAGCAGGGCCTTCATACATGCTGTTCCCTTCTCTCCCCATGGCTTCTCTCTGCCTGGCCCATTCCTTTAGGCCTGCTTCCCAGAGGTGTCCCTGACCCCAGGCTGGGTTGGGGTGAGCTCATTCCCCCTGGCCATGAGGCTCTGAGATCTGCCTCCCTGCCCAGACCAGGAGCACTATGAGGGCTGCACCCCCCAAGGCCCAGTTCAAAGGTGGACACTCCACCCCCTCAACAATACTCCACCCCCTCAATATCACCCCTTCAATGTTTCCTACATGCCAGGTACTGGGCTCTCCTGACATCCTATTCCACCTTCACAACTCTCTGAGAAGGAAGGACCAATGCCCCCCTGCACAGGCTGGACGGACTCAGAGCAGTTAAGGGATTTGTTTGGTCTCAAAGCTGGGACGATCCTGAGCTGAGATTGGGAACCAGGTAGCCCTATTTCCAGGCAGAGAAATGAACTCTGCTTGAAGAGGTGGGAGGGGCAGTGCGCACAGAGACAGGGCGGCACCTGGAGGTCAACATCGGAACTGCAGGGCAGGCGGTCAGCATCCTCCTGCCTGGGCCAACTGACACTCAGGCTACCCCATAGCTCCATCAGCACCCACAGGACCCAGAGCAGGACGTCTACCCACTGTCCCCAAGGGCCCCCACCCCCACAGAGTGAAGCTAGCATCTTAGTGTCACCACGTCCTCACCTCCCACTCCTCCACACTTTGCTCCCCACCCTCCCAACTGCTCTGTCACCTTTGCTGTTCACCGGACAGGGGAACTGCCACTCAGGACCTTCCACTTGTCCTGAGTCTCTTCTCCTACTTATCCTACCTCCAACCTACTCAGTGGGGCTCTCCATCTCCCATAAAACACCCCTACCCCTGCCCTTGCTATATCGTTAAAAAGTTTCTTTATTGCAGGGCACCTGGGTGACTCAATCTATTGAGCGTCCAACTCTTGATTTCAGCTCAGGTCATGATCTTGGGGCCCTGGGATCGAGTCCCGAGTTGCGCTCCACACTCAGTGGGGAATCTGCTTAAAGATTCTCTCCCTCTCCCTGTACATGCTCTAAAACAAAAATAAATCTTTAAACAAATTTGTGATAAAATTTATATAACATACAATATGCCTTCCTAACCATCTTTTTTTAGGTTTTTAATTAACATTCATTAACATTATACTTAATGGGGTCTGTGCATGTGCGTCTTAGGAAATCCTTTCCTGCCCTAAAGTCATGAAGATATTTTCCTATATTGTCTTTTAAAAGCTAGAGTTTTGTCGTTCACATTTAATCTTTAATCTACCTGAAATTGATGTTTACGTAAAATGTGATGTAAGGATCTTTTTCTCCCCCCCCCCCTTATGGATTCTCAATTACCCAAATACTGTTTATTGGAAAGCCGATCACAGATCAAGCTTCCAACACAGATCAGATGTCTTTAGACATGTGGGTCTGGTCCTTGACTACCTGATCAACTGCTGTCTCAGCAGCACAGCGCCTGAAGTACCAAAGCTTTATATTAACTTTTATCTTTGGCAAGGCAAGCCCTGCCCCCACCCATCTAGTTCTTTTTCTTCAAGTGTGTGTTGGCTTTCTTAGCCTTTGTTTTTCCACTGAAGTTATAAAACTGGCTTGTGGAGTTTGACACACACAAAGTTAGGATTTTGATTGGATTAGCCTTGAAACTATAGATGAATTTGGAAGAACTGACAACTTTATAATAGTGGACTTTCTGATACACAAACATAGTATGTTTCTCCTATTTAGGTTTCCTTTAATATCTCTCAATAAAATTTATAGTTGTCTCCATAAAGGTCTTGTACATATTTTATTAGATTATTAGAATTATTTTTTTTCCTTGCATAGTAGAACTTATCTGTAAAGTCATCTAGATCTGGTGTTTTCTTTGGGGAAGAGAACTCTTAGTGCTCGTATACAAGACATTTTATCATTTATGTTGTTGGCAATCTACCAACAAACATTTTCTGCTTCCGCTGATATAATAAAATATAATTTTTGTAGGTTGATCTTGTTTCCAGCAACCTTACTAAAGTTTCTTATTTGAAAAAAAATTTTAAAAATAAAGTTTATTTGTTCTAAAAATTTATTGTAGCTTCTCCTATATTTTCTACATAGAAAAATCATGTGATCTGTAAATAGTGGCAATTTTGTTTCTCCCTTCCTGAACCTTAAGATGTTAATTCTATGTTTCTTACCATAGTGTACTGGCTAGGACCTCTGAGACTTCCAGTACTATATTAAATAGAAGGGTTAAATGTCACATTTGCTATAGGGTTTTGAAGACCTAGTTTATCAGTTAAGGAAAACTTTTTTTAGTTTTCCCAGAGTTTGGATCATAACTGGATGTTGTATTTTATCAAATGCTTTTTCTGCATCTATTTTGATGGCCTTTCTAACCATCTTTAAGTGTATAGTTTAGTGGTATTACTTATATTCACACTATCTGTTTCCAAATCTTTTCGATCACCCCTATTTTGGGTTGAACTATGTCCCCCCAAAACTAACAGGTTGAAGTTCTAACCCCTGGTACCTCAGAATGTGAATTTATCTGGGAGTAGGGTTGTTGCCGATGTAATTAGTTAAGACGAGGTCATAGTGGAGTAGGGTATGCCCCTAATCCAGTATGATTGGTGTCATAATATAAAGGGGAAATTTGGACACACACACAAGAAGGCCATGTGAAGGCTAGAGTTCTGCCACAAGCCTAGGAACTACAAGCCTAGGAATAGATCCTTCCCTAGCGACTTCAGAGGGAGCACGGCCCTGCCAAAAGCTTGATCTCAGACTTCTGGCCTCCAGAACTGTGAGACACAAATTTCTGTTGCTTGGGATGCCTGGGTGGCTGAGTCGTTAAGCATCTGCCGTCAGCTCAGGTCATGATCCCCAGGGTCCTGGGATTGAGGCCAGCATGGGGCTCCCTGCTCAGCAGGAAGCCTGCTTCTCCCTCTCCCACTCCCCCTGCTTGTGTTCCCTCTCTCGCTGTGTCTCTCTCTGTCAAATAAATAAATAAAATCTTTAAAAAAAAAATTTGTTGCTTAAGACCTCAGTTTACAGTACTTTGTTTTGGCAGCCCCAAGCAAACTAACATGTACAACTTCAAACAGAAACTCTGTACCCACTAACAATAACTCCCAATTCTCCCCTCCCCCCAGCCCCCAGGAATCCCTAATCTACTTTGTTTCTATAAAATTTGGCTTTTCTAGGCATTTCATATAAGTTGAATCATACTATATTCATCCTTTTGTGACTGGCTTCTTTCACTTAGCATAATATTGTCAAGACTCATCCATGTTGTAACATGTGTCAGAATATCATTGTCTTTTTTTTTTTGAGAGAGAGAAAGTGAAAGAGTACGAGCTGGGGGGAGTGTGGCAGAGAGAGAGGGGAGAGAGGGACAGAGAGAATCCCAAGCAGACTCTGCTCAGCACGGGGCCTGACGCAGGGCTCGATCTCATGCCCGTGAGATCATGACCTGAGCCAAAGTCAAGAGTCCGACGCTTAACCGACTGAACCACCCAGGCGCCCCAGAATGCCATTGCTTTTTGAAGCTGAATAACGTTCCGTTGTACAGATACACCACATTTTGTTTACCTATTCATCTGTTGACAGAGACACTGCTTGATTCCGCTCTTTGGCTACTGTGAATAATGCTGCTATGGCTGCTGACGTATACCTATCTGTTCCAGGCCCCTTTTTCAGTCCTTTTGGTTATACACCTAGAGGCTGAATTATTGGGGCACATGGTAATTCTAAATTTTCTGAGGAACTGCCAAGTTATCTTCTACAGCAGGGATGCTGTTTTTACATTCTCACTAGCAACATCCCTTGATGCCTTTTTCCTTACCGATCTTCCAGCACTTACTACCACCCAATACATTGTCTATTTCATTTATATACTGCATTTACAGTCTGCAGCTCCCATCCCTAGACTAGAAAGTCCGTAAGAGCAGAAACGCTAGTCAGGTTTGTCTACTGCTCCATCCAATTGTATTCAGCACATAGAAGGTGCTTAAAAAATATTGAATAACTGAATGAATGTGATCCTGGGGCTAAATCCGTAGATTTGAAGAGGCAAGGACTCAGTATCCCCTAGTGAACTGCTCACGGTGCTAGGCCCCAGGAATCAAGATTCTGTCGGGCTGAGACAAGGCGGATGCTCTGGAATGCGCGCTCACACCCCCTGAAGCACGGGGCTGACTTTCCCAGGGTCATCCACAGGGCCTTGGGAGCAAATGGGACTAGAAGGATTTCTGAAGGAGTTGCTGGAAGGGCTCTTAGGCTGGGTGGGTTATCTGTCTGGCTGTGATGTTGAGGGTCACGAGCCTAGTATGGAGGGGCGTCAAGCTAGGGGTGGGAGACTGAGGAGGATGGGGTGCTGATGGGGAGAGGGTAAGCATCAATTCTATTAGATGGAGCCTCAAAGACTTAGAGGAGTCAGGGGCCTTAAGAAGCAGCACCATCACCCCCTTGAAAATGAAGCAACCAAGGGAGCACGGATCAGCGAAAAGGAGGAGCCTCGGCGGGCTCACCAAAGGGAAGGAAAGCGATATGGGGGCGGGATTGAGGCTCGTCGTCAAGGAGAGGTGCGGTCCGGCCAGCAGCGGGCTCTCAGGCGAAGCTGACCTGGATGGGGGCGTGGCCGTGGGCGGGGACTCGGCAAGACACGCCCCACCCCCACCCCCCCTTTCCCGCCGCACTCTGCTCACCTCCGGCTGGCGCGCTCCGGGCGGGGGAGCCGGGCGAGGGCAGCGGGGCCGGGCTTGGGGACCTCCCGAGGCCCAGGCCCCGACGCAGGGCTGAGCGCAGGCCGCCCAGCTGCGCCTCGGCCGCGCGCCGCTGCGCCTCTACGCGGGCCAGCTCGGCCTCCAGGCCTTGCGCCCGGCCCTCGGCCGCGCTCAGCCGCAGCCCCAGGTCCGCGGCCTCGGCCCGCGCCGCCTCCAGCTTCAGCTCCAGGCTGCGGCCGTGGTCCAGCTGCTGCTTCTCGGCGCCGCGCGCCTCCTCCAGGGAGCCCAGCAGGCCTCGCTCGCGGGCCCGGAACTCGCCCTCTTGCTCCTGCAGCTTCCTTTGGGCCCCCTGGAGCTGGGGCAGACGATGCCCGGAGGTGGGGGTCAGCAAGGCCGCCCCCAACCAGGCGCCCCGCCTGGCAGGCCCAACCTGGAGGCCACCCCCCCAAAAGCGGCTTGCACAACACCTGATTTTTAGAGGTCCCCACCCAGGCAGCACGTGCAGGAACATCCCAGGGAGTGTGGGAGTTAACTACTAGAATTTGTTTTTTCTCTTCCTTCTGTGTACGTGCCTTGTAATATACACAGTTTCTTAGGAATAAACTAACAGCCCACATAGATAGGACTTACCAGTGGCAGACACTAAGTACTTTCCAAACATCTCAACCCTCATTACCACTATGAATCATTTCTGTTTTACAAATGAAAAAACTGAGGCACACAACAGTTGCATAACTTAACCAAGGCCACACGGCTACTAAGTTGAGAGCCAGGATTCAAAGACAGGCACACTGACTCCAGAGGATGTTTTTTTAACAATCAGGTTGCACTGCCTCTCAGTGCACATAATTTATCAATAAATCACACAACAGGGCATGTAGTAAATTACTTTCTGATGGAGTGCATGGTCACACACACAGCCCTCTGGTTTAGGGAATAATTCAACCCTCATGGTCATCAGTTTCACTAGAAACCACCATTTACGGAGCACCTGGAAGCCAGGACCTATGCCAGGCCCCCATCCCATGAATGCTCTGAAGCACGGAGAGGTCAAGTGACTTAGTCAAGGTCACACAGTAGATTCGCTACAGTAAAACAGCCAGAAAAGCAGAATGGAAAGAGTGCATGCTTTGGAGTCAGACAGACCTGGGTGGCTGTGTGATCTTGAGTAGATCCCTTGACCTCTCTGGGCCTAAGTATCTGGGTATCTATGTAAAATGGGGCTAAATACACCTACCTCCTGAGGCTGCTGGGAGATTCAAACCCGGTTATGTCTACAGAGCTTCCTCTCACCGCCCCCACCCCTGCTAAATGGTTCTTGCAGTTGTTATTACTATCATACCTGGGGAAGAATCTCAAAGAGTGGGGGAACAGGGACGAGTCCTAGGGAGTCATCTCTCAGAATGACTCTAGCACTGGAGTCCCCACCTACTTCTTGCTGGTGGGAGGAAGCACAGGGCACCCCAACTGTCTCCTAAGACCCTCCCCATCCACACAGCCCGCCCACCCAAGTTACCTCCTGCCGCATGGCCTCCAAGCTGGCCTCGCCCTTCAGCAGCTTCTGTCGGAGGCCCAGGGCCTCCCGCCGGCCCTCCTTTTCCGCCCGCTCGCCCAGTGTCAGGCGGCCCTGAACCTCCACCAGCTCCCGGCCCAGCCTGCCGTTCTCACTGTCCAGCATCTTCATCTGTGAGAGAGAGCGGACACAGGGAGGACCTCGGACCCATTCTCAGCATCCACAGCCCCTTCTAGCCCAAGGTGTTGAGGGCCTTTTCAATTCCGCCCCAATACCTTGCCCAGCCCAGGCCCAGGGGGCACTCAGGACCCACTGCTCTAGGGATACAAACATTGAACACCACCTCAAATCCACTGGGAACCTACCCCAGATAACTTCACTGAGCTCCAGCCACGCCAGGCACCTGGGCACCAAGGATCTCCACTGACTGCCTCATCGTAACCACTCACCGTGGGGAGTGGTGGACCCCCATCAGAAGAGGAACTCTGGAGGGCAGGAAGCACAACTTCCTGGCCAACTTTCTCTCCAGGGATGCCTGACTTTTATGGAGTATTTACCACACATCCACCCCTGTTCTAAGCACTTCAATTGTATGAGCTCATTTCACCTTCGCATAACTCTATACGGGGCAGATGCTAACATTATCCTTATTTAACAGATGAGAAAACTGAAGCTCAGAGAAGAGAAGTGACTTGTCCAAAGTCACACAGCCCACAAGCAGCAGACTGGGAGTCAATCTCAGACAAGCAGAATGCAAAAGTATGTTCTAAGCCCCTATTTCCCCAGAGAACACAGATCATGCCGCAGCACCCAAAGCCCCCAGCAAGAGCCTGGCGCACAAATATGACTTCCTTTCAGGGACTCCCATGCTTTCCCGGAACTTCCACCCAACAGGAAGGGGCCTGAAGGGGCAGAGGGGGGCACTGGCGGGAGATGAAGAGAATCTGGTAGTCAGGCTCTGACAGCCCCGGGTGAGGCAGAGCCAAGGAGCCCAGTGGGGCTGTCATCTAGTTCTGCAAGTCTTCTGGGAAGGCCTGAGCCAAGGATGGCTTTTGTATTTTTAAATTGTTGGAAATGGCCCGTTTTTAAATGGCTGGAAGAAAATCAAAGAACAACAACATTTCCTACACGTGAAAAATGATATAAAACTCGAATTTCAGTGTCCATACACAAAGTCGGAATGGAACACATGCCCACGCACTTCTGTACCGTGGGGCTGCTTTCTCACTCTGTGGTTACGCCAACTGTGTGGACTGCAATGGCAGAATGCCAGAAATATCTACTGTGGGGCTCTGCAAAAAATGTTCACCCGCTCCTGATCCACCTCACTGGGTCTTCTTGTTCAAAGACTCCTCTGAGATTTGGACAAAGCTCCAGACCCTCTCCTGGGAGAAATGTGAGTGACTACGTACACAAATGTACACACACACACCCCCCAACGCACACACACTTTTGCACACAGTTTCAGGGGTTCTTAAGTTGGGAAGCTTTGTTAGAGGTCAAGGCCCTGGTTTTACAGATGCGGGGGCCCAGGCTCCACAAAAGGGGGTGCTCCTGGTCCAGCAGCCAGTGCCCAGGGAGGGTACCTGCCGCCGGAGCTCCTGCAGTTCCCTGCGGGCCTCCAGCCGAGAACGTTCCACCTCCTGCAGCCCAGCCCGCAGCTCCTCGGCCTCCTTGCCCACGGCCACCCGCGCCTCCGCGAGGAGCGCCAATTTCTGCTCCTTGTCCTCATTGGCAAGCTTCAGGCTGAAGTGGGGAGGAGGCAGAGGTCAGAGGCGGCCACAGGTCCCAGGAAGAGTACAGTGTGTGGATCTACACAGAGGCTGTTGCCCTAATCCTTCGAGTGGGTCTGGCCGGCTCGTGGCCTAGAGGTGCCCTGAGTGCTACTTGCCCACGTGGCCCCTACTATGAGCTATGCGGTGAAGGACTCGGGGCTGGTCCCCTCATGTTGCCCCACCTGATCCGTTCACTCTCGGCCTTCTTCACGGCTGCCCGCAGCTCCTCGTTGGACCGCCGCAGGGCCTCGCGCTCCTGGACACCCTCATTCAGGCTGCGCCGAAGCTCGCTGGCCTCCTGGCGCTGGGCCTCATGGCCGTCCTGACCCTCGCGCACCTTGCGCTGAACCTCCAGCAGCTCCCGCCGCAGCCTATCCCGGGCATCCTCCAGCAGGCGCAGCTGCGTCCGAAGCTCTTCTGCCTGGGAGGGTGGCAGGTTGTCATGGGACAGGGTACAGGCCCCACTCCAGCTGGGACTTGGCAGAAACCAGCCCACACCCACGTCCCTGGCCATAGGCACCTGCCCCCTCGCTCTGCAGCAACTCCGACCACACGTATGAGTTCTGATTTGGGGCAAAGCACACTGCAGTTAGTGGTGTCTGGGCCTGAAATAATCACCCACCGGGATCTTTCTATGGAGGGACCCCAAGAGGGCAGGGACCCCACCAGTGCCCTGAGTCCCGCATGTACACCACAAGGCCTCCGTAAATGCTATGGCCTCCCTTCTGCATTGGCTGTTCGTTTGTTCTCACATGCCGGGACAAATCTTACACTCTTCTGTACCCTAGCAGGCCGGGCCCTAGCAGCATTTAGTGGGCCGCCTGGAAAGGGTGCGGGGGACAGCTCACCTCGCGCGCGGAGGATTCCCGTTGCCTGTGCAGGTTTTGGGCCTGTTCTTGCAGCCTCTTGGCCTCCTGGGCGTGGGCAGCAGTAGCCTCCTCAAGCTGGGCCCGTAGGTCCCGCAGCTCGGACGTCAGGGCATTCACGGTGCTCTGGGACAGGCAGGCTCCTCAGACTTGGTGCCACCGCACCCCTCCCCCGGCCGTTCCCAGTGGGGCCAGCTCAGCTGTCCACCTTCAGCTCCAAACGTGGCCCTTCCCTTCCTGCTGCCCAGCCGGGCCCGTCTGCTGGTCCCCTGCTGCCCAGTGAATGCTGTCCCCGTAGCTGCTCTCGCTCTCAGGCTAGGATTCACCGGGCAGAGCTCTGCCACCTCCCTCTGACGGGGGCTCCCCAGGAAGGGCTGAAGCTGCCCCACAGCCCGGAGGCTTCCCCAGGGCAGAGCCATGCCCCCCACCCTTAGACAGGGCTGTGCCTCCCAGCTCAGATGGGGGCCCACCTGCATGGCCTGCCCTACCCGGTCCTGCTCCTGCCGGCTCTGAGCGTCTCTCTTCTGCCGTTCCATCTCTAGGGAGATGGCAGCCAGGCTGTGCTGTGTGCCCATCAACTTCTCTGACAGTGCTGTCTTCTCTGACTCCTTCAGGGACAGGGCCTGGGCAGAGGCAGGGAGAAAAGGGGTGTGGGGGCTTGGTTGGTCATGGGGGCAGGCTCGGGCCTTGCCCACCCCCTGCCCTGGGAAAGGTGCCCACTGGGGGGCTCGGTACCTTGTCTGGGTCACCGCAGATGGACCCGGGGCGGCAGTGCAGACTCCCCCCTTCTATGGCCCCAGAAATGACTCACCCCCTCTGTAGCCCCAGAAAAGGGCACAAGAGCCGTAACAGTAAGTCTGGACATGGACACAACTTAGAAATCTCACTAACTTGGGGCGCCTGGGTGGCTCAACTGTTAAGCGTCTGCCTTCGGTTCAGGTCATGATCCCGGAGTCCTGGGATCGAGCCCGGCATCGGGCTCCCTGCTCAGTGGGAAGCCTGCTTCTTCCTCTCCCACTCCCCCTGCTTGTGTTCCTGCTCTCGCTAACTCTCTCTCTGTCAAATAAATAAATAAAATCTTTAAAAAAAAAAAGAAAAAGAAAAAGAAAAAGAAATCTCACTAACTTGCCACAACAACCCTTGTCCTTCATTACTCCCCTTTTACAGATGAGGAAACGGACTCAAGAGGTGAAGTGAGTTGCTCAGGGGGCCACGGCTAATGAGGAGATGGATGCAGTCCAGCCTGACTCCATGACATTATGGGAAAGTCAGGAGTTAGCTCTCTTAAGGAGAGTCCGCTGATACATGTGGGCATCACGGGGACTGCTAAGAAGGCAGTCCTGGGGGCACCCTGGCCAGCTCGCAGTGGCAGGAGGGATGGCGGACTGTGGGTCCGCTTTCCTGGACCCGATGCTCATGGTGTCATGAATGCGATGCCACTCGGTCAGTTCCCACCACACACCAGGCATGGCTCGCTGAACACGGGTCTCAGCAATGCTTCACACACGCCCCTTGGGCCCCCCTCATCCTGCAGGTGAGGACACTGAGACCCAGAGAGGGACTCCTAGCTGTTGGGTGGCTGAGCAGGGACCAGCCCCAGAACAGGGGCCCCTCAGGCAGCAGCAGAGGCCACACCAGGGCTCACGAACCTGCTGCTTCTCGCTCTCGGCCAGGAGGAGGCCCTCATCCCGCTCCTGCTGCAGCGCAGCGATCTCTTCACTCAGCTCTTCCTTCTCGGCCTCCAGCCGTGCCAGCAGCTCTTCCCGCTCCCGCTGTAGCTGACTCTGCAGCTGGGCCCGCGAGGCCTCCAGCTCCCGCCAGGCTGCCTCCTGCGGGCCAGGCCCGGGCACGAGTGACCCACGAGGTTGGGCCCCGGCGGCCCCTCACCTGCCTCCAGACAGCAAGAGACGCCTGTAGCCCAGACCCCGAGGGGCAGGTCAGCTGACCTGGTAACTACAAGGTGGGGTGAGTGATTGGGGCTGTGACAGGGACACGCCAGGGCTGTGCAAGCCCCAGGGAGTGGCAGCCGCCTGGCCCGGGGGTCAGAGAACATTTCCCGACGGAGAGACAGGCAGCAGTCAGCCAGGTCAAGAGAGAAAAGAAACAGAACCCCAGGCCCAGAGTCCAGCCCCAGAGATGGCCTGGAGGATAGAGAGAACCTGACGCACTGTATTTAAGGGCCCCGGAGCTTCGACTACCAGGGGACACGGTGAGCAAGGGAACCAAAGTCACAGGCAACAGCCAGGCCAGACCAGGCCCTGTGGGCTGTAGGGACGGCTCGGCCGATTCGCAGAACAGTCAGGGCATCAGAGAGCCTCAAGTCAGGGTTACAAGGAGTAAGCCCAATTTGGGACTAAGGAGTTGTTCAAAGCTATGGAAGAGGGATGGGGATAGGGGCTTGGGTAGAGAGGAGCTGGGTGGGCTGCGAGGGATGAAGGGGGCCTGGGGACGGCAAAATAGCTGGACAGAAGAGTACAGATTTGGGGACATGAAGAGCCCAAGTCAGAAGGTGCAGGAGGGGTTAGAGATGTCCGGGAGTTTGGCTCCCTGGGGGCGGGGGTAGGTGGGTAGGTAGAACCCACAGGGAAAGAAAGGCCTCCTCGGGGTCCCAGGCAGGTACCTGGCCCTACACTAGGCCTTAGCAACTTTGTGAAAAGTAGGCACAAGGGCTCCTTCTTCGAAGGCTTTGCTGCCACCTGCTGGAGAAGTGAGATACTATCTACCCAAATCCAAGAAGACTACATGGGGGACGTGGCCCTCCACTGGCCATAAAGGACAGCCTGAACCTCTGTCGGAGGCAGCCCTGCCCAACATGGGTGACTCGGGTGCCCTACCCTGAGGCCTGCTCTGGACTGTATCTTAGTGCCATAATAATAGTGGAGCATTTATGAAGTGCCAGTCATTATGCCAAACCCTTTATACAGATTATCTCACCTCATCCTCACAATACTCTATAGTATCATCGTCCCCATTGTAACAGACGGGGAAATGAAGGCCCTTTAGGTAACCTAACCAGGACGTGGCCAAGATCAGGTCCAAAGCCAGGCACTGAAATTCTAGAACCAGTGTTCTTAGATAGCTCTGTTCTGTCTTCTAGTAACCTGGCTCTATGCCTTTCCAGAGTGGTCTTTCATATGCAGACAGCACTTCTTAGCAAATGAAAATGCTTTCCTACTATACGTTAGGTCAGCATTTCCCAAATGTGGCTGTGGATCCCCTGCATCAGGATCACCAGGGCTGAACCAGATTTGGGGCCTGGGAAACTGCACGTCTGATAAAGCATACCCAGTGGATTCTCTCAGCTGCCCTTAGGGGAACAGAGATGAAGTTCCATTTCACAGATTTGGAGACTGACGCGGAGTGAGAAGGATGAGTGCTCTGAGGTCAAAGAGGAGACACTGGCTCAGAGCCCTGCCTGCCCCAACCAGCTGCCCGAACCTTCTCTCGCTGGAGTTGTTGCAAATCCTCCTCGTGGGCCGCCCGCTGCTCCCGCAGAGAGGCCTGGGCCTCCCGCTCAGCCTGCACCAGCTTCTGGGCCATCAGCTCCTTGTCCAGAGCTGCCTTCTCCTCTGCAGTTGTCATCTGTTGCTGTAGGCCCGCCAGCTCCCCTGCACAGGAGGGACAGGAGGAGGGGACAGGCTTGGGTCAGAACCTCCCCATGGGCCAGCAGACTCAAAGCACATGAGCCATGTGGGCAAAATCCCAGAGGGGAGAGGGCCCACCTGGGACCTAGGCTGAGTTCCCTTGGAGAAGCTTCTTGCCCTCCCTACGCCTTTTTCCCCATCTACCACATGATTCCATTGGCCCTGTCCCCCTCCCTATCTAGCTGGAATGGCATCAAACGAATGCAATAACATGAGGAAGACCCCCTCAATGGGGAGGTTAGCAAAATATAACCACCCCCATTATGGATTGAGTGCTTACGAGGGGTCAGACTCTTGGCTGAGCACATGAGAGATCTGCTCTCACTGGAGCTTCAGGATAACACACAGATAGCTTACCTCGTGCCCAATCTACAAGGAAATGGACGCCCAGAGGAGACAGGTAATTCCCCAAAGCTGCACCGCTTTCCATAAAGCATCTCTTCTACTGACTGATTGCTATAAACATGCTCGGTGGGCCATCGGCACTAATGGATGTCACCATGGGGAAGTTGCACCCCACTGTAGACAATCTAAAAACTATCTCCTGGGTCGGAAGCCCGCCAGAGACTCTTTCAGCATTTCCCTTCCTGGTTCTGTCTGGCTCAGGTAGATGTGGACAGGAAAGTTAATTTTCACGGCCCAAGTAGATGCCTAGTCCACACTTATTGAGCAAGAGGAACCCCTGAGTTCAGACACTGGGCGGGGAACGTGGAGGGCAGCGGGGCTGGGAGTGTGGAGCTGAGAGTCCATGGCTCTGCAGAGAACTCAGACCTCTCTAAGTGCCCTGGTGACAAGAAACAGCCACCGCTGGCCGCCAGGCCCTGTGCCAAGGTCTTCACGTGCTTTTCTCGCCTCATCCTGGCAACAGCCTTGGACAGTGAGCGTTATAACCTCTGTCAGAGGAAGAACTGGTGGTCCAGAGAGGGAAGGGGCTTCCCCGAGAAAGCTCGGAGCTAAGTGGCAGCAGCAGGATCAGAACTCAGGCCAGCCAGACTCCAAAGCCAGTGCTCCCAACTTCCGGAGACCCCAGGACCCGACAGGTTACGTCCTGGGCTAGAGCCTGGCATTCCCCCCCGCCCAGCCCAGGCCCCCCCCCATACCAGTCAGGGCTTCCTTGGCCAGCAGCAGGGCCTGCCCGTCGGCTTCCAGTTGCTCTCGGCGGGCCTCGAGCTGCACCAGCTGCCGCTGCACCTCGAACAGGCTGCTCTCCAGGGCTTCCTTCTCCAGGCTGCAGCACACACGACCCCTGAGGCCTTGGGACTCAGCCTCCCGGGGTCCCAGGAAACTGTGACTCTCAGGGCGCGGCCAGCCGTGGGCCAAGTGCCAGCCTACCTGCTCAGCCAGGCGCACGCTCCCTGGGGAAGCCGGGGCCCCAGCTAGGACATGCTGGCCAGCCTGGCTCCTAAGTAACTGCCCCGTGGACCAATGCCAGGTGTGGCTGGTCACAGTGTGGCCCCGGGCAGACCCCCCAGGGTGGGCTGGGCAGAGCCCAAGGGCCTTACCGTAAGCGAGAGGCCTCCTCCGACAGGGTCCGGCCTTCTCGCTCCGCTGCCGCCAGCTGCACCGTGAGGCCGGCCCGCTCCTTGGCCAGCGCCTCCTTCTCCCGGGCTGCCCGCTCCAGCGCCTCGGCCTGCCGCTGCGTCTCCCTCCGTGCCCGCTCCAGCTCCTGTTCCCTCCCGCTCAGCTGCCGGGACAGCTGGCCCCCGGCCCGGGCACTGTGAGCACCACTCCCCGAATCTCCCAGCTGCTCACCAAGCAGCACCCCAGCCCCGAGCCAGGCCGGCGGGAGACCTGGGGTCAAGCTCAGGTTCTGCCCGGACGTGCTATGCGTGCTTGGGGCAAATCACAGCCTCTCTGGGCCTGCAACGTACACAGGTACAAAAATAGGTATGCGTCCTCACGCAGTCTGCGGAGTAACTTTCTGGAGGAGCTGAATATACAAAACAGACTCGGAGTGGAGACCTGGAGCCCTGCTCCCTGAGCCCCACGGCCCATCCCCTAGAGTCCCTTCCCAGGAGCCTGGGCCCTCCAGCACAGACACTGTATAAAGGTCCCTGGATCCCTAAAGGCCTAAGGTGCCTTCCAGCTATGTTCTAAAAAGGCTAAGATTCCAATTCAAAAATTCTCTATCTGGGATCATATCGTGAATTTTTACTGTGTGGTGAGTCCTCCACCTACCAAGTGCTTACATGGTGTACTCTTCAGAACAATCCTTTGTGATAAGAACTCTTAGCCCTGTGTTACAGAGGGGGCAACTGAGGCATTGGGAGGTTGGGTAGCTTGCCCAAGGCTCCCAGCTAGCAAAGGGAGGGCTGGATTTAAACTCGAAATCAGGCTCCTAGGCTAGGAGTTAGGCCAGGACCGGATGCAGGGGGCTGGGGGCCTGAAAGCCCCTCCCACCTGCTCCCCACCCCCACCCCCGGGCCCAGACACCCACCTGGGTCAGCTGCTCCTGCAGCCGGCAGCGCTCCTGGCGCAGCGTGGGAAGCTGGTGCTCCAGGGCCTCCCGGGCCTGCTCTGCCACCCGCAGGGAGCCCTCCAGGCCCTGCTGCTCCACCTCCTGCTCCAGCCGCAGCTGCTCCAGCCGCTCCTGCTCCTCCCGCGCCAAGGAGGCCTCCTGTTCCACCTGCCGCTGCCGGCCCAGCAGCGCTGCCTTCTCCTCTTCCAGCTGTGGCGGCCAGGTAGAAGCAGAAGGAGCGGGTTGGCCCAGCCCCTCCACCTGCGGAAGGGGGCCCCACCCCTGACCAAGGATGCGCCCCCTCCTCTCCACCCAGCCACCCATCACAGCCAGCCCAGGGGAGGCCCCCTGGGGGTAAGGGTGGTCCCTCGGGCGTGTGGACACTGAGAAGGGGGCGGTAGAGAGGAGGGCCCGTGGAGCTTCTTTCTCTCGGACACAGATGGAGTCAGAACGGAACAACAGAGACAGAAAGAGGGGCAGCGGCCAGGACAGGTGCAGGGCTACAGGGGTACAGGGAGGTAAGCCCTGACGCAAGGGGTGGGGAATAAGGGGGGCGAGGCAGGGGGGCCCGCCGGCACCCGGCATACCTGGGCGACAAGGCGGTTCAGACCTAGCTTGTCCTGCGCTAGGCTCTCGTTGAGGGCACTCAGCTTGGACAAGGAGTCCCGCAGAGAGGCCTCCTCTGCTCTCAGCTTGGTCACCGAGAGCTCAAGCTCCACGCGGCCGGCCTCCGCCTGCGGGGCCAGGGCGGCCAGGTAGGGGCAGAAGGGAGAGACAGAGAAAGAGGGGAGCCGGAGAGAGGCAGGAACAGACGCGCAGAGACACGGAGAAGGTGGAGAGATGGAGGCAGGAGCATGGGGAGAAAGGAGAGGCAGAGAGACGGGCCCCTCCGAGATGGTGGGGTGGGGGGCGAGAGAAGACACAACGTGAGACAGAAAACCAGTGCGGAAGGCCTGCTGCCTTCGAAGCTACTCAAAAGAAGCCGCACACGGCAGAGCTGTGCGGGAGCAGGTGAAGCCCAGCTCGTGCAGGGCAGGGGCAGGGTCAGACGGTCCCGCGGAGTGGGGTCTGGGGAGGGGGGCACTGCTCGGGGCCCAGACTACAGGGGTGGGGCAGGCACCCGTCAAGGATGGTGCCCCCAGCTCTCACAATCCCCAGGACCAGAGAGGGGACAGGATGACCTGAACGACAGCCACTGCCCCAGGAGCATCCGGAAAGCCAAGGACAGGACCTCTAATAGAGGTCAGTTCACTTATGGCTGGGGTCAGAGGTCAGCCTGTGGTCCAGGCAGAAGGGACGGAGGGTCAGAGACCAACCTGACGCAGGGGTCAGTCTGTGGCCAGAGGGAGAAGGCCTAGGGCCTAGGGGAGAGGTAGGTCTGTGGCTGTGCAGCGCCCGGGGTCCCACCTTGGTCAGCGCGTCAGCCACCTCGGCCTTCTCGGCCTGTAGCATGTCCTGCTGCAGCGTGGCACAGCTCAGGGCCTCCCTCACCTCCACCAGCTCCTTCGCCAGCCCTGAGCGCTTCACCTCCAGCCGCTCTAGCTGTCTGTGGCTGCGGGACAGAGGGTGTGGGCCTGGCCTGAGACAGGAGCCCTGGAGGCCAGAGCCTCACTCACAAGAACAGCCAAGCCCTCCGTTTTGGGCTCTGTGACTCTGGGCCTCCGTTTTCACATCTGCAAAATGGGGTAACAGCTGCCTCACGAAGTTGTTATAAGGATACGTGACCTACTGAACATGAAGTGCTTAATACAGTGCCTGACGTACCTCCCCAACAGCTGCAGGAACATGACGACTACTCACTAGCACAGCGTACTAGACGCCACCGTAACTTACGCCTCAGACGAGAAAGTAGTGCAGCGGTTAAGAGATTAACTCTGAAGGCAGAATGCCTGGGTTCAAATCCCGGCTCTTCTAACTAGCTGTGTGACCTTGGTCAAATTACACCACCCTTCTGTGCCTCAGTTTCACCATCCACAAAATGGGGATAGTGACAGTTCCTACATCACAGAGTTACCATGAGGGCTGAACAAGAGAATGTCAGTGCTTAAAATGGCGTTGGCACTTGGTAATATTATCATCAATACTATTACTGTGGCTTTCCATTTAAAAAATAATATGAATATTACTACTGTCATTTTAAGTTTTATCGTTGTCACCACCCACACTCCTACCTCATAGCAGTCCTTGATCCCAGGGGCGTGACTCTACCTCCCTGGTTTCCTGAAATGGGGCTGGTTGGAAGACCCTACCTCAGAGCAGTGCCGTGAAGATTCTTCACGATGGTGGGAGGCGTGGGTCCTCCGTGGCCCCCAGGGCTACCGTCGGGAGCCCCCAGGTCCATTTCAGCGGCCGTGGCAGGGAGACCAGAAGCCACTCACCTGCGCTCCAGTTCCCGGCGAGTCTGCGCACAGTCCTGCACCCTGTCCTCCCGTTCCTCCTCCAGCTGGTCCCTCTGGCGCCTCAGCTCCTCGTGGGCCGCCTGCAGCTTCTCCCGCTCCTGCCGTAGCTCCTCGGCCTGCTGCTGGGCCGCCTGCAGGCTGCAGGCCAGGCCATCCTTCTCCCTGCAGGACGAGAGGAGGGGGCGCTGAAGGGGATGCTGGGGCTGCTCTCCCCAGGGAAGAAGGCCATGCTGCTGTCCTAACCAGAGCCACATCCTCCGACCTCTAAGGCACCTGCCTCCAGGGAGCCTTCCCTGCCTCCTCCCACGGGTGACTCACTTCCTCCACATCTCCCTGGAGCTGACTCTCCCTAGGGGAGGACACCCAGCTTTCCTTCTCCCCCAGCCCACCCGCTCGGAGGCCTAGTGGGATGGACGGAGGCCCTGGCATTATTTCCAACCACCCCACCAGGTCCATGAGGCCAGGCTAAGCTCCTGGGACACGCAGGAGATGCCCCTACAGCATCCCGAGCCCTCAATTCTGGAAGACAGAGCTGGGTGTGCCCAGATGCCACACTTCCTGCTGCACAGGCCAGCAGCACGTGGGAGCCGGCAGGGGAGGGAGGGGGCAGCAACTGGAGATTTTCAGAGTGCTGCCTTCTCCCCCAGTTCCAGCAGTCACAGCAAAGGGGGGAGAGGAGTGTGTCTGTCACCCCTCCTTCCGAGCCAGCTGGGGCTGATCGCTGGCATCGCCTCCACGGCCCCACCTCTTCACTCGAAGTGGCAGCCGAATGTGTACTAGACGCCAAGGCCGGCAGGAAGTGAGAAAAACCATACAACACAACATTAAGTAAAAACAGCACAATGCATCGGGGTGCCTGGGCAGCTCAGTCAGTGAAGCGTCTACCTTCGGCTCAGGTCATGATCTCAGGGTCCTGGGATCAAGCCCCGCATCGGGCTCCTTGCTCAGCAGGAAACCTGCTTCTCCCTCTGCCTCTCCCCCTGCTCGCACTCGCTCTCTCTCTCAAATAGATAAATAAAATCTTTTTTAAAAAATAGCACAATGCAAAATAAGGCGTTCACTGTGTACACAACTACCCTTCTCCCAAGGCATGAGAAGCTCTGGTTTTGCTGTCAGAAGGACCTGAATTCCAATTCCTACCCCCCCGCCACCCTGCTGTGTCAGCTCGGCCAAGTGTCTCAAGCTCAGGCCAGCCCCAGCTCCGAACTGGGTAAGTGTGACGGGCAGACTAATTACGATAATGCCGTGGAGCACCTGGCACTGAGCCTGGCCCGCGGCAGGTGTCCGAGAAGCGTCTTCTGCCTCACTGTCAGCAAGCACGACGGGAGGCAGAACCAGCGAGTTAACAGGGGCTAGGCTATGACAAGGTCCCGCCTTTTTATTTCCCCTTTGTTTTTCGAAGTTTTTATTCTGCGGTTACATTTATGAAGAGAAACAACAAACAACAACAACAACACAACAAAAATAGCCAGGCAGTTAAGAGTAGATAATCTCTTAGCACTGTCAGTAGAACTCTCTGAGACGAGAGAAATGCTCTACAGCTCTTTGTGGCTACCGAGCACTTAAAATGTGGCGAGGACAACTGAAGGACTGAACTTTTACTTTTTAAAATGATTCATTAGGGGCGCCTGGGTGGCTCAGTTGGTTAAGCATCTGCTTTCGGCTCAGGTCATGGTCCCAGGGTCCTGGGATCAAGCCCCGCATCGGGCTCCCTGCTTCTCCCTCTCCCTCTGCCTCCCGGCTTGTGCTCTCCCTCTCTCTCTGTCAAATAAATAAATAAAATCTTTTTTAAAAAACTGATTGATTTAAATATTTTATTTATGTATTTATTAGTGAGCACGAGCAGAGGGAGGGGCAAAGGGAAAAGCAGACTCCCCGTGAAGCAGGGAGCCCCACACGGGGCTTGATCCCAGGACCCCAGGATCATGACCTGAGCAGAAGGCAGATGTTTAACTGACTGAGCCACCCAGGCACCCGGATGATGCTTAATTAATCTAAATTTTAACAGACATACATGGCCAGTGATGACCACATTAGTGCAATCCACATGCCTACAGGCTCGGGCTGGCATTAGATCCAGGCCCCCACCTCTGACCTCTCAGGCACCTGCTCAGAAGGTCGATGGTGCTCCGCAGACGCTGGGCCTCGCGCTGGGCATCCTCATGAGCCTGGGTGGCCCCGCTGGTCTCGTCCCGCAGACGCTGCAGCTGCTCCTCCAGGCTGCGGCGCTCACCCTCGCTGTCACTGAGCTGCTTCCGCAGGGCGCCCAGGAGGTCCTGGCTGGCCTCATAGCGCCCACGCATGTCCTGCGGCATGGGAACCACTGAGTCCAGAGGAGCCCCAGGAAGCTCCCAGAGCGCCCCCTACTCTCTGCTCATTCCAGGGAGGTACACCAGCCTACTCAGCAGCCTAGGCCCGGGGCAGGAGAGGGGGGCTAAGGCCACCAGACTAGGTTTCCACTCCCATTCACTGTGCCCCTACCGCCCTTCTGAGCGCTCTGCCAGGGCTCGGAGCCTCCACGTCCTTGGCCACTCCGACCTAAGCCCCAGATAAACCACCAAGCACACTCTGTCCTCTCGTGGATTCTGACTATCCCAGGGCTCCCAGGCTCCTCCCCTTTGCATCCGGGTTCTGACTCTCCTCCAGACCCCTCGCTGCCCCTAGTTCCCCAGCTTCTCTCATCCTAGATTGATTCTTCCCCCCAGGCCTTTTCCCGGCGGTCCTGGCTCTGTCTGTCCCGCAATCTCCTCACTTTCTGTACCAGGATTTTAGCTCCGCCCCAGGCTCCTCCAGCCCCAGGCTCCGCCGCCAGCTGCCCAAGCACCTCCCACTCTGGGCTCAGATCTGCCTCCTCGCTCTCAGCCACTTCCATGGGTCCTGACTCAGTTGCTCTTTCTCAGGGCTCTGGCCCGCTCCGAAATGGCTCACGCCCGGGCTCCTCCCTCGGAACCCGGGCTCCTCCCCCGGAGCCCGGGCTCCACCCCCACGCCACAGGCCCCGCCCCGAGGGGCCCAAAGCGGCTCGCCGGAACTCTGGCGCCGCCCTGGAGGGCGCTGGGGCCCCTCCTACCTGGACCTGCAGCTGGCGCCTGTGCAGGGCCGAGTGGATCAGGGCGAGCGTGGAGGAGTCGGAGCAGGCGGGGGATGGGCCTCGGCGCGGGGATCGGCCGCGGCCGGGCGAGGAGCGCCGCGGCGGGGAGGGGGTCCGGGGGCCCGAGAGCCCCCGCAGGCTGCCGTCCGATGCGTCCGCCGTGCGCTCGGAGCCGCTTAGCTGGACACCGCTCTCCATGTCCGACAGGACGGCCTGAGGTGGGGTGGGGAGGCCACTGAGGAGGGGGCCGCGGGTCAGCTGGGCCACGAAGCCCAGGCGAGGCAGTGGGGTCGCGGGGGCCACGTGTCCGGCTTCCTCGCCCACTCCGCAGCACATTCTAAGCTCCCTTCCTACAGGTCTTCCCCATGATTCCGCCTCCCCGGGCTCACAGCCCTCAGCACGCCGGCCGGGGAAGTCTCCCATGTATTACCAAGACAGGATCGGGCGGTTTTCACAGATGGGCCCGGAACGGGCAGCCTCCCCTCTCAGACCGGGGCTCCCCTCCGGGCAGAGGTCAGGCTCAGCTAGTAGGGGTGTCCAACAGCAGCAGCCTGGGTCCCCAGGGCCCCCACCCACTTGCAGAGGGGTGGTGCTCCCAGCCTGCCTGGCCCCGCCCTGCGCAGGGCTCCCTCCCACCTCACACCTGTGCCAGGTCCCTCAGGGTCTGCTGCAGCCCCTCTCCGTCCTCTGTCTCCAGGGCCGCCTGCTCCTGGAGCCGCAGGGATTCCTGGAGCGATGTTGGGGAGACAAAGAGACGGTGGTCAGGGTCTCCGCCCCAGCGGGAAACTCCACCTTCACCTCCCTCCCTGGGGGCCCTGCCCATCAGGTGGCCTCTAAAGCCATGCCCAGAGGCCCGCCCCTTGGCAGACCCCATAGCAGCCCCAGTGCCCTCACGGAACAGACCAGGCCCAGAGAAGTGCAGTGTCACTACATAGGTCACCCAGACTATTGGAGGAGAGCCACAGAACCCAGGCCAGGCCCCACACGGAAGGATGACCAACCCCAGCAGCACCCTGAAGGGTGTCCCTCTCAAGGGGCAGGCAGCTGAGCTCCAAGAGAAGGAGCCCTGGGCTAGCAGGGCACAGGCATCTGTCCAAGCCCCGGCTTATTGGCTCTGAGACTCTGGACAAGTATTTCCCCTTGGGCCTCAGCTTCCTCATCTGTGTAATGGGAATCATGCTACAGGGCTGCTGAGAGGAATGAAATAGGATAAAGGAGGTGAACGTACTTACCACTAAGCCTGGCACACACGAGGTGCTCACACTAAGCCTGGCACACACTAGGTGCTTAATGAATGAGGGCTGAAACTGAGTCTACATGGGATGCTAAGGGTGGCCCAAGCAAACACGGCCCTCATCCACGGATCTGCTCTGACTCCCGATCCCGCCCTCCACATCGCAGGGGCAGCTGCATCTCACCAGGGCCTCAAGCTTCTCGGTCAGGGCCTTGTTGACCCGATCCTTCTCCAGATTCTGGTTCTGAAGGCGCTCCACTGTCAGGGCCAGCTCTGTTACTCTGGAGGAAGGGCAGTAACAGAGGTGAAGGGGAGCACCCCCATCTTCTCCTCAAACCCACCAGCTGTGTCCTTCATGCTTTCCCAAGCCTCAGGGAGGGACCCTAGCATCCACGTCCCTGGCTGTGTGACCTTGAGCAAGTCCCTCCTCTCTGGACCTCAGACTGCTCGTCTGTAAAAGGAGAATGAGGTTGCCACTTGCTTTACCTCATGGGAAGGCACTCTGGGACTCATCCAGGTCTTAGGAGCTAAGAGCATAAGCTCTAGCATCAGCGGGTTAAACTGCTCATTAATGTGCCCTGGATAAGAGGCTTCCGAACCTCAGTCTCCCCCCCTCTGTCACACAGGGTGTCGAGGCAGACTGGCTGAGCTCACACAGCAGGGAAGGGCCCATCCCCAGTGAACAGACATTCGTTCCTCCCTGCATCCCCAGATGCGCACTCTACAGGGAAGCCTGCTTCCTGTGCTGCCTACCAGGCACCCACCTGGCACTGAGATTGGCCTTGTCCACGTTGCTCTGCACCTGCAGCTGGGTCAGGTCCTTCTCCTGGAGCACCCTGTCCCGCAGCTCCTCCTCCAGCAGTGCCTGCTTCTCCAGGGCCGCCTCGGCCCGGCTCTCAGCCAGCCGCAGGCCGGTGCTCAGCCCCAGGTCTGCCTCCTGGATGGCTCTTGAGGTCCGGGCCAGCTCCCCTCCCAAGTGCAGCAGGTCCCTGGTGGAGAGAGCACAGGATAGGCATGGGATGGGGGCAGGCTCCCAAGTATAAATTAAAACTATCCCAGGATGCTATAGTGGGATGTCACTATCAGATTGGCAAAAAAAGAGAAAAGTCACATAACACACACTGTAGGTGAGACCATGGGGAAACAGGCCCTCCCCGACACGGGTGGCATGAGGGTAAGTGCGTGTAACCACAAGAGCACAAGCAGGGGGAGGGGCAAAGGGAGAGGGAGACGCAGGCTCCCCACTGAGCAGGAAGCCCAATGCGGGGCTCCATCCCAGGACCCCGGGATCATGACCTGAGCCGAAGGCAGATGCTTAACCAACTGAGCCACCCAGGCGCCCCAAAAGAGGGCTACTATTACATAAATGTGGTATATCCATTGAATGGAATACTCTATAGCCAAGAAAAATGGGGAAGCTGTTCAGAGTTTGATATGGAGCTACCTCCCAGTTCTAACTATTAGGTGAAGACAGCATCTTCAAGAAGAACACAAAGACGAAATTCCACCAAGAGTATGGAGCAAAGGGGGTGGGGGAGGGAGAGAAAGAAAGAGACACAGAGAGAGAGTGTGTGTGTGTGTGTGTGTCATCTGCTGTATTTGCTTGTATAAAATAAGCCTGGAAGGTCATGTAGGAAACTGGTTATACCACTTGCCTCCAAGAGGGGAGGGAAGCATCTGGGCCAGAAATGGGGAGGGGGGACACTTATCACTCTACACCCTTTTGAAATTTGAACCGTGTGAGTATGTGAGTTATTCAAAGTAAAACGTTAAATTTTTAATTTTTTTTTAAAGATTTATTGATTTATTTGAGAGAGGGAGAGAGTTGGGGGAGGGGCAGAGAGAATCCCAAGCAGACTCCACACCAAGCATGGAGCCCAACACGGGGTTTGATCTCACAACCCTGAGATCATGACCTGAGCCAAAACCAAGAGCTGGATGCTTAACTGAGCCACCCAGGGGCCCCATACCTCAATGAAGCTTTAAAAAAATTAATCTTAAAATGAAAATAAGTAAAGGAGTACCTAAAACACAAACCTGAATCTGATCAAGAATTAAATCCGGGGGCGCCTGGGTGGCTCAGTTGGTTAAGCATCTGCCTTCGGCTCAGGTCATGATCTTCGGGTCCTGGGATCAAGCCCTGCACTGGGCTCCCTGCTCAGCAGGGAGCCTGCTTCTCCCTCTCCCTCTGCTCCTCCTCCCTGCTCGTGCTCTCTCTCGTTATCTCTCTCTCTCTCAAATAAATAAATAAAATCTTTAAAAAAAAAATTAAATCTAACATCCAATTTACAGGAAATACAGGGGACAAAGGTGTTAAACACCACCTCAGAGTCCAGACTGTGGGAATCTCTTAGGACAACAGTCTCAGTTTCCTTTTTTAAAATTACTTATTTATTTATTTATTTGAGAGGGTGAGAGAGAGCGAGCAAGCAAGCACAAGAGCAGAAAGAGGGAGAAGCAGACTCCCCGCCGAGCAGGGAGGACGACATGGGGCTGGATCCCAGGACGGCAGGATCATGATCTGAGCCAAAGGCAGACGCCTAACTGACTGAGCCACCCAGGCGCCCCCAACTGTCCCAGTTTCCTAAACAAATAAATGAAAAGACTTAAAACACAAGTCAGCCAATTACATTTGGTGAGCATCTATGGGTCCTAATTCAAATAAATTATAAAGACAAGAAGGGACCCATCTGTGACACTGATCAGTCAACTGGAAATCTGGATACTGAATATCCAATGACTTTTTTTTTTAAACAAAGTTTTAATGCAGAAGAAGAAAGGAATTGATCTGCCTGCTTCAGCTCTCCCCACAGCCTCACCTGCTCAAAGATCAAGCAGGACCACGTTCCCCTGCTGATGTGGGCCTTTGAGGCTCTCCCAGCCTGACTGCCCTTCCCCTGCCTTTTGCTTCAGCCCCACTGACTACCATGTCCTACCTCCAAGCCTTTGCTCCCACTTTTCCCTCTGCCTGGAGCACCCCTGGCTCTGCTGGTTAAAATCTTACCCAGCCCTTGAGGTCAGTGTGCACATTCCACCTCCTCTATGAAGTGTTTCTCTGACCTCCCCAACCCTCCCATCCTTCTGAGAATCTGGGATATTCTCTGTTCTGTTTCCACGTCACTCACCACTCACTTCCTCAGTCTAGAATTTTGGGAGTCCATATCTTTTCATCCCTAGAGCTTGTGAGGTCCTGTAGAAGCTGAATATTCTAGTGGATTAAAAGCAGGAGCTATAAATCCTGACTCGGCCACTTAGTTACTGCTGTGTGACCTTGGGAAGGTCACTCTGCCTCTCTGAGCCTCAGTGCCCTCATCTGTAAAAGGGGGATTATTATAGTTCCTACCTCACAGGGACACTGTAGATATCAGAAGAAATAAAATGGCCAAAGAGCCTAGCTCAGAGTAAACACCTAGTAAATGCTGACTGCCATGATGGTGGTAGGAGTTCATTATTACTAGTTGTTTCTGCATCTCCACAGAGCCTGGCACACAGTAGGTGTGTTGGGTTGTACTGAAGTTACAACTGAGTTGAGTTGAATTCAACTTAAAAAGCGGGGCTATCTCCCAGCTGCTGCGGCGTCTCCCCAGGCCGTCCCTCCACCAGCCGGGCCTCACTCACCTCTGGGTGGACATCTTCACCTCGCTGACCAGCCGACGGACCCCCACAACCTGCCTCCAGAGGAGGAGCAGGCGGCTGTGCTCGTTGCTGAAGTAGGTGTTGAAGGACTGGAGGGAAGGCGGGCTGAGTGAGGGCCGGCCCCGCCCCCGCCCCGCCCCCTCCCAGCCCCGCCTCCTCCCCCAACGCCGACGGGAGGGTCCCGGGAGGCCCGGCGGCCCAGCGAGTGGGTCTTCCTCCGGGCCAGCGCCCGGCCAGCGCCCAGGGGAAGGGCGGGAGCTGTCCCGCTCAGGCTCTCGAGCCTCCTTCCCGCACAGGGAACTGGGTTGCAATGCCTCGGCCCGCTGCGGCTGCAGGAGGCAGTGCAAAGGTCAGAAAGTGCTGGAGACCCAGGTTTGCATCCTAGCTGCCTGCGGCATCACTGCATCACCGCGGGCAGGTTACTTAACTTCTCTTTAAAATGAGCGTGACAGCACCTACCACACAGTTATGATGCGGAGCAGAGGAGAAAACGCACGCCAGGCACGCGGTATGGGCTAAGCGAGGCCAGCGATTATCCTCTCCTAAAGGGCTCACCGGCCAGCACAGCCTCCCTCTCCTGACCCCCCCACCCCTGGTCCTACCCCTCGGGTCAGGCTGGGCCCCTGAGGCCCCACTGGCCTCCCAGCACCCCCATGCCCACCTCCTCCTCACGCCTCCACGCCGCCTCCCGCTGCTCCAGCTCCTTACGGCAGCATGTCCAGTCGATAGTCACCTTGCGCACGTCCTCACTCAGAGCCTGGTTGGCCGAGTTCGCCTGGTCCAGCTGCTCTCGGAGCATGGCGTTCACCTGGGCCAGGCTGGCACTCCTGGGGGGTGCAGAAGGGACCGGTGGGCACATGGCAGGAGAGGACAGCCCTGCCAGCGCTGCCAGCCCTGTGCCCTCCCGGCCGCGCCCCACCTCTGCTGCTCCTCCTCCAGGCGGACGAGGGCGCTCTCCAGGTCGCCGCTGCGCTTGGTGTCCTGGCGGGGAGAAGGGGGCATCAGCCTGGGCAAGCAGAGGGAAGGGCCTGCCTTGCCCCACCACGGCACCCACCCTCAGCCGCTGCTGCTCCAGCTCTGTGGATCTCTCTACCAGCTGCTGCTCCAGCTCCGAGCACTTCTTCTTGTACTGGAGGGTCTGCGGATGGGTGCGGAGTGGAAGATTAGCCCCAGGGGAGGGGGGCAGGGCACAGCGAGCACATGGGGGGACGGGAGCAGGAGTGGGTGGCCCTGACCTTGGCCTGCAGCCGCTGCACCAGCTGGGCCTGCCGCTGCTGGCCTTCCTGGTAGGCCTGCAGCTTGCGCCGGTAGGAGGCCTGCTCCTCCTGCAGCTGCCTCCGCAGCTCCACGCTCTGCCGTACCAGCCCCCTGGGCTCGGGCGTTTCCAGCTCCCCAGACTCCAGCCGCACAGCCTGCTCCAGCTGCAGGGAAGGTCCCTGGGTGAGAGGCCCGGGCCTCCCGGGAAGGCAGGCACAGAACTCTACAGAGGATGCCAGGCTGGGCCCGGACCCACAATGCCTTGCAGGCATACATGGGCAAGCCCAGGGTGTAAAGCACGCGTGCACAGGGTAATGAGGCTGTGCATGGACACAGGCTGAGCATGCATGGACACACAGACAAAGCACGGGTGGACACATGCAGGTGGGCCACAAACATGTGCATGCAAAACACAAAGCTGCACGGGGTTGGGGGGGAGGGGAACCTTACAGGCCCTCCGTGCACTTGCGTGCGGGCACCAGGAGCCTCTCCGCCAAACACCTAACCCAGCTGTGGTTGATTATTAGCAACATGCCTATGTCTCCCCATCCCCACCTGAGGTGAGCTCAGGAAAACCTAGATTTTTGTTCTCCATTGTGTCTTAGACCCAGGAGAGTGGCAGTGGCATGTTTGTTGAATCATGAATTAATCGCATGAGCACATATGAATACATTCAAACAGAGGCAAAAATATCCGCATGCATATCTGAGCTTGGAGACACGCACACACATAAGGCACAGTGGCAGTCTCGAACATTCCCGGGGTGACACAGAGGAACGCCCCGCCCCCAACCCCCACACCCACAGCGCTCTGTAAGAGGCACACACTCGAGGCACACACTCGAACGGAGGGCTCGCTTATACGGAAAACTGCTGTCAGCGCCCTGCTCCACCCCCAGGAGCCTGGCAGCCCCTTCATTATCAGACCCTGTGAGCACAGGCTGGACGCCTGCATGCCTGGTTGTCATCATCTGTTGCTCTGGCTGAGTCTCCTAACCCCTCAGGCACCTGCTGGTCCCAGGGGGCCCTTCAGTCTCCTTGAGCTGTTGGGGAAAGGAGGAGGGAGCAGGCAGCTGAGGATGAGCAGGACTGACAGAGGAGTGACAGTGCCCAGGGAGAACCAAGGGGAAGACAGCCCAGCCTGGCTGATCCCACCCCAGGCCCACACTCACCATCCACCTCCCCAGTGCCTGGCCTGCTAGCCCATGCACACCATTCACATGCCCCCCAACACCAGGTCCCAGGGAAGCCAACAGCAAGGGCCACTGCTCTCACCCTGGCTAAATAACGGGACAGGGCCAGGCCAGCCCTCTAGGCCTCCATTCACCCAGGATGCCCGCGAGCCCTCCGACGAGCCACCGACCGTGCTAACAACCTGCTCTCTACCCACCTCACCCCATGCGCTGGGGTCAGTGCCAGAGCGGGGCGGCAGTGGCCACTGGGGTGCCACCCGTAAAGAGGGGCCAGTGGGAATGCTTGAGGGCTTCTGCCTGGAAGGGAGGCTGCAGGCTCATGATCAGTGTCTACACGGAGTCTACCTAAGTCAGGTGGCAGGACAGTGTCTCCAACCAAGCGGGCAGCACTGAGATCCCGGGTGCTGTGCGGCGACGTGGGCTCGCCTCACTGGCTGTGGCTGGGCTGTGTTTTGTCATTTGTCTCCATGTGGGACCCTGTGTGTCTTTGTGTCTAGGCCTTCACAGGGACCTCTGTGAGTGCCCATGTGTTCATGTGTTTGCTTTGTTTTTTAAAGATTTTATTTATTTATTTGAGAGAGCAATACAGAGATAGTGAGAAAGAGCACAAGCGGGGAGAGGGAGAAGCAGGCTTCCCGCTGAGCAGGGAGCAGGGAGCCCGATGTGGGGCTCGATCCCAGGACCCCGGGATCATGACCTGAGCCGAAGGCAGAGGCTTAACGACTGAGCCCCCCAGGTGCCCCGTTCATGTGTTCTTATGTCTGCGTGCAGACCTGTAAGTGGGCAGGGCTGGGGAGAGTGTCTGGGCTCCACGTGTGTCTGCAGCATGCATCTCAGCCACTCTCTGCAATGTGCAGGCATGCAGCATACCTCTGTCTGGCTGTGTGTGTCCCCGAGTCTGCAGGATGGGGTAGCTCGGTGGTGTGGCTGTGCGTCTGGGCAGTATGTGCTGTGAATGGGGGGGGGGGGGGGACTGTGTGGCATCTGGCTGTGGGGGGCACTTATGCTGTGTCTGCTCCATGAATCGGAGTGTATCACTATGGGGGACTTGTGTTTCCATGTGACATCTGTGTGTGTCCGGGTGGGGTCTGATCGGGGCCCCTGCCCTGTGTGCTTTGCACATCTGTGTGAAGCAGGTGCTATTTGCTGCTGTGATTTAGGGGGGTTCAGGCAGTCGTTGGGTGCCCTACAGGCTTCTGCAGTGCTCACAGCCAGGCCCGGCCTCTCCCGGCCACACCTTGCCCCTTTGCACAAACTTCTCCCCTCACAAAACAGCCTTTCAGTTTAACTTGTAATTCAAAAGGCAAAGAGGCGGGTCACCAAGCTGAGGATGAAAGAAGTTTACTGTCTCCCCTAGCAACCGCTGCCCTACTACCCGCCATTCATTCACTCGGTCCAGGTTGCCATGGACACTGGGGGAGCCCAGGGGGTCTGGCCTGTGGAGCCCAGGGGGCGTGGCCTGCCTTCCTTTTCTTCCCATTCCCAGCTGCCTCGCCCAACACCTGCTCTTCAGGGACAGGAAGATGGGGGGCCTGGGTTCTCCTTCTGACCTGGGAGGTGGCCATGGGGAGCCCCCGCCTCAGTTTCCCTACATGCAGTCAACAGGACACAGATCCTGACCGCTCCTCCACTTCTTTTTCCCAGGGATGCCGTGGGGTTGCAAGGGTCAGAACAATCTCACTGATGGGTCTCCAAACAGCCCACATGTAACAGTTATGGCCACGCGGGCCGGCCCTGCCACCTGCACCATGGGAACAAGTGGGCAGCAGGGACAGAGTGTCACAGGGCCACAGAGCCCTGTGGCCTTAACCCAGCCTTAACCCAGCTCCACCACTGACCTTGGGGCCTATCAAGCCCTGCTCTGGGCCTGCTTCCCCATCTGTAATAAGGTGATCTCCAGGCTCTGATGTTCGGGAGCCCACGCCCCAGGACAGGCCTGGAGGTCACTCTCATCCAAACCTGCCTGTAGGTGGGGGGCCTCACTCACACCACCTCACACTGAGAAAAGTGAAACACCCGGCTCCCTCTACATGCTATTCAGGGGCCTTCCCAGCCACATGAGGGAATCTTCTAGACTAATGCAGCAACCCCCTCCCTGCCCCAACCAGCCTTTGGCCTGCTGCAGCCCTAGCCTCAGCAGCTGTGTCTTAGCAGAAAAGAAACCTGCCACCTCCCACCTCTCGTTCTCTTCCCCCACCAGCTGGGGGGGAGCCACGCCAGCTTCACTGTCAGTCAGAAGCTGGCATTTAAGAGACAGCCCCCGGAGGCCTGGCACTGTGCCAGTGGCCAAAAGATGAGAGGGGGCTAAACTGGAGGAGGGCTGGCTCAAGTCCCCGTCACCCCCAAGAACAGGAGATTCGGGCCAGCCCACTCTCCATACCTCCTGCAAACCTGGGAAAACTAGCTCTGCACTGTCCCCAGCACTAGGGGCCACCCCAGGCCCCCCCCCCCGGCGCTGCTCCTCTGCAAGTCTCAACAAGTCGGGGGCCTATCCAGGCGAGCCAATAGCAGGACAATGGCACACCCTGCAACCACCCACATAAATGCATGCCCCTCTTCCCCACCGAGTAGGCAAGCCCCTGCGTGACAGGCCCAGCCCAGGGATCCTCGGCTAACCTGGCTCTGCCTAGCGCACGGGAAGCTCTGGGCCAGCTTCCAGCTCTGGGCTTCAGTCTCCCATTTGTTACATCCAGAGGCTCATGTCCGAGGTCCTTCCAGCTTTCCAACTGCCCCCCCCCAGAACTCCCAGCACACCCAGAAAACAAAACGGCAATGCACAGCCCTGGGCTGGGGGTCGAGAGCCTGAGCCTTCACGAGCCTCCACCGGCTGTGTGACCCCAAGCCCGGTGCCGTCCCTCTCGGAGCCTGCTATCCCCTCTGTTAAATGAGCATCATAATGGTCTCAACCTTGGGGCAGCAAATGTGATGCACCGAGCAAGCGCCGGGCCCATAGGAAGGCCTCAATAAACAGTAGTTACTGGGATAACTGTTACCACCCACACATCTCCCATCTAGACACTCCCTCCCTCGGGCAACTCTCCCACCAACTGCCAGCCACCATCCACTCCCTAGCGTCCCCTCTCACAAGCCTGGAGCCCCAAAGGAGACAGTGCAGTCCTGGCCCAGGCCCTGGGGTCCCCACAAGCCTGCAGCACGGTGCTCGGGGAATGTGAGTCCTGTCTGGACTTGGAGGCTGGCCTGGCTTCTCCCTCCTTCCTTGGCGAGGCCTCACCCCCGTGCGGAGTGGCTGCAGGTCTGCGGCTGCCCGTGCCTACTCCAGCCTGCCTGCCTCAGTGTCCGGCCGCCGCTGGCCGGACCCCAAGACCCACATACACGGGAGCACAGAGAGATGGCCAGACACTCGAGGGGTGGCAGGGGCCTCTAAGGGTCTTACTCTCTGTCCCCACCCCAAGCAGGCGTGGGACAGATAGGAGTGAAATACCCTGGTGAGAGGCACTTCATTCGGTCAGCTCGTTGACTCCTCCCAAGCCCACATCATATTAGCATGCCCGCGACAGAAAACAGACTGGGAGGGCACAGTGTTTTGCTCAAGGCCACTCACGCCGGCAGGGCCACGGTCGGCACCCAGGCCAGCCTGACTGCGGGCCCACCTTCAGCCCAGTGCCCGGGCCCGGCCCGGCTGTCTCCCAGCCCTCGCCTCAGGGGAGCACCCTGGCCCTGAGGCAGCACCCACCCTCTCGCTGACCGCGTTGTACTTGATGGCCAGCTCATCACGCTCCGCACGGCTCTGGGCCAACAGGTCCTCCACGCGGGACAGCTCCTGCTGCAGCAGCTGGTTTTCCTCCTGCAGTGACAGCATGGATGCCATCTCTGTGGCCGGCAGCGGGGCTGGAGAGGGACAGCAGACACGAGGTTGGCTTCCCGCGGGGTGCAGGGGGGCACGCTCCCACGACATCCATCACTGGAGGCGGGAAGGGGGCCCGGGCCCCTGAGCGGGGACGCAGCAACAGAGCACACATAGAGCTGAAGAACGGGGGGGGGGGGGGGGGGGCTGGGGGCAGAGAGATGGGCCTAGAGCTAGACTCAGAGTGGACACAACCAGAGCGGAAGGGTGGCCCCAGCAGGCCCAGAACGTGCGGGAAGGAGGCTCGGTCTAGGAGGCAGGGACTAGACCTGAGTTCTAGCTCCTTCATTCTCCAACTGTTACTCGTCTCTGGGCCTCAGTTTTGCTGATCTGGAAATGAGTGGAACGGGTAACGAGACCCGACCAGGAGAGCAGGGAGGCCTCACTTAACATGTAACTTCTGAAGCCAGGGCTTAAGATAATATGGGTCATGTTGGGAGGAGGAGGAGGAAGAGGAAGAGGGAGGAGGAAGAGGAGGAGGGGAAAAAAGGCCAAAGGGAGAAGTAGAAGTGTCCCCCCATCCTGTGGGCTCCCCTCCCATCCCAGGACAACTGGACACACACCACAGGCCTTTAGGCTCTTCCAGCCTGAGGTGAGGGCTCTCTAATTCTCTCGCTGCCTGGGGCTCCTAGGGGCCCCAATATCCCTGGTCCTTCCAAGGAGGTTGAGCTTGGACAAGGACTGTGGCCAGAGCACCAGAAACACCACGAAGGAGAGCTACAAATACACCAGCTACGACGGTGTACACCCTTCCCAGGCTCTCAAACCGCATATGAGGCTGTGCATGCCACCCACCAGGAGGAACAGGGGCCCATCAGCCTCTCTGCCTGGGCAGGGAATGGTCAGTACCACCCCTCGGACTTCTGCAAAGTGCTGAGCTAAGCTGAGCTGCCCTCCCCCTGTAATCTCTGGTTCAGGCAGCTCACACTGTCCCTGGGAGAGAATGTGGTGTCTGGGTCTAAGTCTTTGCTGCGGGCTGCCAAACGGGGTGCTCATCCCCACTGTCTAGCAGCACCATATGGGGAACAACTCTGAGCAAATATACCTCTGAGCCTTCATTTCCTCATCTGTAAAATGGGTCTCTCCATCACAGGGTTGTGCCTGCCTCACGGTGAGTCACTATTACCATTGACCGCGGGAAAGGGGGATAAGAGGAGGGGTGAGGCGCAGGCAGTGTCTGTAGAAGGTGAAAGAAGAGTAGCACCTTGGCTCTCAGGCTGGGAGAGGTTGCGGGTAACAATCTCTCTGATGCAGGCAGGCAGGCGAGCGGTCCTGGGATGGTCCTGGGCTGGGTCCTGCACACTCAGGCCCTTCTCCTGGCCTGCTCTCAGGACGCTGCTCTCCAGGGTCTGGGGGAAGGGCGGGGGGAGAGAGGCTCTGAAGGGGACCTGGGACCCTGGGCTCCCCTGCGTGGGAGAGGAAAAAAGTCCTGCGGCCCAAGATGTGGGTGCCCAGGAGACCCTCAGGAAATGCCAAACGGAGGGAAGCCTGGGAGTTAGAATGGCAAACAGCCCCATGGGAAGGCTCTCTATGTGCCCCCTGCCCCAGGAAGGAGGCCCCACCAAGGACCAGAGAAGTGAACCAAACCGCATGGCCCACTCACAAACCCCATCCAGGCAGCACAGTGTCGGGGGCTCCAGTCCAGCTCCAGCCCTACATGGATGGGGATTCCACTGTGCTAGCAGAGGTCACCTCAACCCTTAAATCTGGGAGGAGGGATCCCCTTTTCCCCACGGAGCACAGGGATAAGGGAGCCATAGCAGTTGAGCCCTGAGCACCCGCTCTACCCCCCAGTTTGGCTGGGAGCTGCAAGCTGGGGCCCCTGTGCACCCCAAACCCACCTCTCCCACCCCATGACCCCAAGATGCACCTACCACTCATCCACTCCTGCTAGACCCACGCTCCCCTGCCCTGGACAGGGTGGGCTCAGGCCTCAGGACCCACCTGGATAACGGTCTCCAGTGCTGGCTGGTCCTCCAACGGTCCCTCCAGCCCCAAACTCATGGGGCGCAAGCTGTGGGCACCCCCCTCCAGGCCCTTCTCCAGGGCCCCACAGACCAGCTCAGCTCACCCATCCCACAGCCAGACCGCTGTGCTGAGCACAGGGCAGATTAGGCTTAAATCCGGTGGTGCCCCCATGTGACCACCGAGGAGGGAGGGGCTGAGGGAGGGGGAGGGGTCGGGGAAGGAGAGGAGGGGAGGGAAGAGGGAAGAGGAGGGATGAAGAGGGGGAGGGGACGAAGGAGGGGAGGAGGTAGGGAGAAAGGGAAAGGATGGAGAGAGGGAGGAGGAGGGCCCTGGAGCTGAGGACCCCCCCCACAACTCTCCCCCCCACACACACACACACTGTCCACCCTCCCCAGCTGCTGGGTCCTAGAGCCCTCCAAGCCTAGGGGGTGGGGTCAGTATCAGGAGGCGGGAAAGGCCAGTCTTAGACCTTCTTTGGTGACCCAGATGGCGGCCACGTGATTTGCTAAACCTGTATTCCCAGGGTGCTGGGATGACATCTTTCCCACAACAGGTTCAGGGCCAAGATCGCAGGCTGTGGAATCGCCCACACCAAGCCATCTGAATCCCGTCATCCCCTCACCCCCACTCCCCACCACACACACAGGCTGTGTGCTTCTGAGAAAGCAACTTTGCCTCTCTGAACCTCATTGTCTCCTTGTAAGATGCGGATAGTAACTGGCACCCATCTCATGGAGTTGTCTGGGAGATTAAACCAAAAACCGCGTGGGCACAAAGAGCATGTGACTCAGTGTCAGGTTCATAGTGAGCATTCGATAAATATCGACTTCACTCAGTTGAAAAATCCAAATGGACAGTCCCTGTACCCCAGGGCCAGAGGTCCACCCACCACCTCTCATGGTTCCTTGCCCTGCAGCAATGAGGCGGGCCTGGAGCAGTTAGGCCTGAAACTCTGGACTGAGCCGCATCACCTGCGGTCACATGGGAGTCCCAGCGCGCATGGAACTGTTTATCTCCTTCCCTGTCCCAGCACTCCTCGCTCCTCAGCAGTCTGACCTTGGACTAGGTACCTCTCTGAGCCTCAGTTCCTCATCTCTAGAATGTGACTGAGAGCCCCTACCACACAGAGTCACTGAGGATCCAGTGGGTTGAAAGGTGTAAGGGGGTTTGAACCCCAGCGGGCTCGGAGTGAGCGATGAGCAGACCGCAGCTGCTGTTCCTGTTCCCATTAGCATCAGTCCTGCTTCCTGTGGCTCCTCTAAGTGCCATGTCCCGGAGGAGGCATACTTGCATTATCTCATTAAATCCCCACCACAGGGCACCTGGGTGGCTCAGATGGTTAAGCGTCTGTCTTCGGCTCAGGTCATGATCTCAGGGTCCTGGGATCGAGTCCCGCATCGGGCTCCCTGCTCCTTGGGAGCCTGCTTCTCCCTCTGCCTCTCTCTCTCTCTCTCTCTCATGAATAAATAAATAAAATCTTTAAAAAAAAAATAAAAACGTAAAATTTTCAAAAAAAAAATAAATCCCCACCACAACCCATTTCCAGATGAGAAAACCAAGGCTTAGAGAGGTTAGAGTTCTCACCCATTCAAAGCGACATGCCCCAGGGAAGTGGTAAACCCAGAGCTCAGTCTACTTGGGCCAGGCAGCCCCCCAGTAAGTGCTCCAAGGCGAGGCCAGGCATTTTCCCTCTAAGACTCTACTCCTCTGTCTAGGTCAGACCCAGGAATGCAGCACGTGCTACATAAACGCACATCAGTCAGGCTGCACCCCTCACCTCAACTAGGAAATCAGCTCTGCAAATGGAAAGCCAGGAAACGGGGCACCAGGCCAAAAAGGTAAGTGCCACCAAGTTGCCATGGCAACCAAGGCCAAATTTAGGCAGAAGTGAGCTCGGCCAGGGGCAGAGAGCTGTCACTACAAAACTCTGGGACTCTCATTTTCCCACCTCCAGACACCCTCCAGAAGTCCCCTCTGTAGGCTGCACACCCATAACCAGAGCAGGGGGGAGGTCACAAACACCCACTAGGCCAGGATCTCCACCCCTGCTTGCCCAGCTTGGCACCGAGGGGGTCCCAGATGTGCTTGAACTGAACTATTCTGTGCCTTCCCCCAGCCAGTGCCCTAATGGATCAGGGGAAGGGAGCAGGATGCCAGAACCCTTGGCTCTGCCCCGAGTTCTCCCCCTAGAGTCCAACTGGGTTCTCTAGATCCCAAGGAATCACATCTAAACCCTGTGTGTGCCACATCTGCAGTCAAATCTCAGAACAGTGATTGAATTCCTCACAGAAAAAGTCTGTACGTTATAGCTTCAGCATCCAACTCCAGTCTTGACTATGCCTCCCTACCAGCTGTGTGACCTGGGCCAGTGACTTCACCTCTCTGAGCCTCAGTTTCCTCATCTGTAAAATGAGATGATAATGGTGACTGTTTCTGTCATGAGGATTCAATAAGGTGATCTCTGCTTAGCTGTGTGCTTGGATGTGGTGTGGCAGAGACTGCTACGTGTTCCCCCAAAACATATTTCCAATTCTTCTTAAGAAATGGGACTCCCTTGGGCCGCCTGGGTGGCTCAGTCGTTGGGCGTCTGCCTTCGGCTCGGGTCATGGTCCCAGGGTCCTGGGATCGAGCCCCGCATCGGGCTCCCTGCTCTGCGGGAAGCCTGCTTCTCCCTCTCCCACTTCCCCTGCTTGTGTTCCCTCTCTCTCTGTGTCTCTCTCTGTCAAATAAATAAATAACATCTTTAAAAAAAAAATGATTACATGCTATTAAGGAGTGTGTAAGTGTTGGCTCTTACTAAGTGTCATCATTACTACCACTACTATTATTGGCTCTTCCCAGTACCCATTCTAGAACCTTGTGCCTGGTACCCAGTAGTGTACCTCAGCCATTGTTTGGCGAATAAATACAGAGGAGACACTCTTTGCACTTGCTCCCTCCCATTCCTGCTGGGCTCTGGCCCACCCTCCCAGCCTGCTTGGCCTTTGCCCACCCTCCAAGCCTGCAGTTTGCCAGATCTAGCGGCAGGAACCAGCCAAAAAGTCCCTCGGAGATTACTCATGCGTTTCAAAAACACCCGTGTTCTTACCCACTTACACCTTTATTCTCCTACTGCTGACCAGAAATTAGAACAAAAACACTGCACCAACCATGAGCCCAGCCCTCTGCCCATAACTTTGCATCTGTACCTTGTCTGTTTTAACCTTCTTTTTTTTTTTAAGATTTTATTTATTTATTTGAGAGAGAGAGAATGAGAGAGAGCACATGAGAAGGGGGAGGGTCAGAGGGAGAAGCAGACTCCCCGCTGAGCAGGGAGCCCGATGCGGGACTCGATCCCGGGACTCCAGGATCATGACCTGAGCCGAAGGCAGTCGCTTAACCGACTGAGCCACCCAGGCGCCCTGTTTTAACCTTCTTGATAGCTCTGTGATGCCAATAGTGTTCTACCCACTTTACAGATGAAAACACTAAGGCCCAGCGAAGTTAAATAACTTGCTCAAAATTACCCAGCATGAAGAGCTAGAGCCACATGTGAGACCCAGGCATGCCTGGTTCCAAAGTTTTGAGCAATAACAGCAATGGCTACCACTATGTAGTGCTTACTGTGTGCCAAGCACCACCGTGGGTCTCGGATGTGTATTATATAAGCTGCTGCCGTCTTTTGCCTGCACTGCTGAGATGGCTCTTCATAGGTCTCCCTGCTTCCACTCTTGTCCCTCAGTTCCAGTCTATTCTCATGCAATGGAGATCACATCCCTCTTCTGCTCAATGCTCCCCCCCACCACACACACACACACACACACACACACACACACACTCTTCCTATCACCCTCAAAATAAAATAACAAAATTCAAAGTCTGGCCACAGCATACAAGGCTTGCCCAGTCTGGCCCCAGTCCACTTCTCCCACCTCATCATCCCCTTTCCTCCCTCCCCTTGCTCATGCCACCCTAGCCATGCTGGCCTTGATGCTCATCAAAACACATCAGGCACGCTCCCACCTCAGGACCTTTGCACCTGCCACTTTCTCTGCCTGCAATGCTCTTCCTGCTTTTGCATGGCTGATTCCTGCTTGTCAACCAGATCTTGACTCAAAAATATCATCTTCTAAGGGAGCTAATCCTGACCTCCCAACTAAAGTGGTCCCTGCCCAGTGCTCGCTTCAGCAGCACATATAAAGTGGTCCCTGCCCATAGTCATACTCTGTTTTCTGTAACATGTATGTTCTCTTTCTCCTCCAAGGACAGGGACCAAGTTGGCCTTGTTCAATGCTGTCTCCACAGCCAGCGCTCCATAAACAGCTGTTGAATGAATGAATGCTAAGAGACAAGTAATAATATAGGAATAATATAGGAAATAAATGAAAGAAATTAAAGAAAAAGAAACAATTCCCCTGAGCTTTAGTGGGCGTCACATTGGGCAAGTCCTGGCCATAAATGATGTCACCCACAGACTGGGATCCCAGAAGGACCCCCAGGGAACATCCCAGGAGCTCAGGGTAAAAACCTGACAGCATCCCCCACAGCGGACCCCTGAGTGGGAAGGCTGCCTAGTGTCCAAGGGCTGGCCCTCATCTCCAGGGCTTGAGAGAAAGCCTGGGGAGAGGAGGAGCTAAGTCAGGCAAAGCTTCAAGATCCAGGCGTTCTGACTCCTGAGGTCTTTTCTGAACCCTGCTCCTAACTAAGGAGCCCAGCCTGGCCTTAGCCTCGGTCTGCTCCTAACACAGGACTTGTTTATTTATGAAGCACCTGCTCTGAGCCCAGCTAAGGAAAAGAGGAAATCTCAGATGAAAACAGACAGAAGGTACCCTGATGGACCCTGCCCCACAGTGTCCCAATCCCCCAGACAAGTCCCAGTCCCAGGGGGAGCTGGGGAGACTGGCCACCATGGGAGCAGACATCGGCCCAGACCACAGTCCTCTCGGGTTTGCGTAAAAATCACAACGGAGACCATTCAAAATGCCAACCGTAGGCCCCATGTTGAGAAACCCGAGGAGGGCCCAAATCCCTGCACAGGCTGTGCCATCTTTGGCCACTCAATTGACCACTCTGGGCTTCAGTTTCCCCATCGGTAAAATGGGGCTACTCTGCACTCCATCGGGTCGCAGCGAGGGCGAAATGCCTTCCCGCGCGAGGACTGCAAGGACGGTGTCGGGCCCACAGGAAGCCGCAGCGCGGGAGCTGCTGTTTGTGGCGACGGTGGGGAAGGGCCTCCCGCGGCGGCCCAGCCGGCGGGACGAGGGGACCCGCCACGGGGGCCCCCGTCGGGGCCTCAGGCCGCCGGGCCCGCCAGGCCCCCGCCGCGCCCGGCCCGCAGCCCGCGAGAGTCGGGGCAGGGTCTGGAGCGGGGGGCAGGCAGGACGCCCGCAGACCCGGGGGTGCGGGGACGCGGCGAGGGCACAGGGTTTCCCCAGGGCCGGGGGACGGCGGCTCCGGCCCGCCCCCTGGCGCGCGCCCGCCTTCCCGCCCGCGCGCGCCGCCGCCTCAGCCCCGCGGCCTCCGCCCGCCGGAGCGCGCGACCGCCACCTCCTACCTTCGCGCGCCGCCGCCGCCGCCTCCGCCGCCGCCGCCGCCGCACGGGCGGGGCGGGCGGGGCGTGAACGGGGGGCGGGGACAGATGATGGAGGCGCGTCCTGGGCGGGGCGGAGGCGGGGCTGCCTTGGGGGCGGGGCCAGCGCCGCCCCTCCCGCTTCCCGCGTAGCCGGGGGTGAAGGGAGCGTCGCGTCCCTGGGCCCGCCGCTCCCAAGCTGTTGAGCGCTTACTGGTGGCGGGTACTGGGTTGAGGGCTTTTCCAACACGGCCTCGTTTGCTGCTCCGGACAACCCAGCAAACAGGGATTATTCGCTCCTTTTGCATGAGGGGAAATGCCCACGCTCAGCTGCACAGTCCCGCTGTGGTCTCGCCTGTGTTCCCTGGCCCGGCCTCGAAGGTCTAAAACTCAAGCTCTGGCCTCCGCCCCTCGGCAGCCAGACTGAGGGGCCATTCCTGCCCGCGCCTTCGGAGCCCACCGTAACAGTACTGAGGCTTCGATGACTGCCACCCGCGGGAGAAAGTTTTCCTGCTTGCCCTGCAATCTAGCCTGAGGCGCTCTGGCCTCAGTTTGCTCATCTGTGAAATGGCGGAACCCCATCTGCTACCCACTCTTTCTCTCAAACTCATTGCCTTGCCCAAATGGGATAGGGATCAGACCATAGAGGAAACCGTGCTTTTTGTTGTTGTTTTTGTCATCTCTGCACCCAGAGTGAGGCCCAAACTCACAAACCCGGAATCAAGAGTCTCAAGCTTCACAGACTGAGCCAGCCAGGCACTCCGAGGAAACCATGCTTTCGAAACTAAACCGTGATCTGTCATTTCTATTGCAACAGTAAGCTAGCTTCTATCCGCCCACTGCGCCTCAATCTCCCTCTGTTCTCCAAAGCATTGACTCAAATCATCCATTTCCAAAGGGGGAGGCGGCTCTGAATCTCTCGGGCAGAGAGAGGGGTGTGCTTGGTTTGAAACAGCATGTTTAATTTTATGATTTTTTTTAAGATTTTATTTATTTATTTGACAGAGAGAGCACAAGCAGGGGGAGCGGCAGAGGCAGAGGGAGAAGCAGGCTCTGCACTGAGCAGGGAGCCCCACTGGGGGCTCGATCCCAGGACCCTGAGATCAGGACCTGAGCTGAAGGCAGTAGCTTAACCGACTGAGCCACCCAGGCGCCCCTAATTTTATGATTTTTTATTTGGAAAACAGCCATAGGTGGGTAGGAGGGGGTGAGTGGGAGTTTTCTATTTGTCAAAGAAGAGCCTGGGTCTTACATCTGAGAAATGGCTCTCGAGGCTGCCGGTGTGGCCTTCAAGCCCGGACACCCTGGGATGGTGCAGGCGAGGCTGTGGCCTGGGCCAGGGCTTCGAGTCAAGAAAGGTTTGGGTCAATCCCTGGGGTTTGGGGATGGGGAGGTGGAGCTGTGAGGTTGGGAGGAGAAGGGCACAAGGGAGGGCTGACTGATGTCTTCCAGGAAGCACAGCTGGCCCCCAGGTCCCCCAGCATGGCCCAGGTCTGTGTCACCCTTTCTGGAGCCCCCAGACTTGCTGGGTCCCTACCCAGGCCCTAACAGGCTCATGGCCTCATCAGCCCACTGCTGATTCTGCGTGTCCCTGCAGAGCCCTCACTCCAGAGTGCTCCTCCCAGCAGCAGGGTCCGGGCTCAGGCCCCCATCCCTGTCCCTCCCACCAGCAGACCTGCCTGTTGCCTCCACCAGGGGTCCCTTGGTTACCAGCACCTGGACCTCGAAGGCGGCCTCCACCGGCCGCGTGCCACACTGTGGGGGCTGCCGCGGCTTCCATTTTCTCATGCTATGCTCAATCCCCTCTGAACACTGTGAAACAGGATCTAGGCTGTGAAGCAGGTTCTAGGATTATTTCTATTTTATGGATGAGGAAACCGAGACTCGGAGAGGTACAGTCATTTACCCAAGGATACGCAGCAGGGAGTTCTTTGGCTTTCAATCCCCCGCTTCTTTCCTCTCTATACTACGCTCCCTGATGCGAGACTTTGGAAGGGACAGCAAACACAGCGGCTCTCTCCTGACCCTCTTACCCCAGAGCCCACAGGACCCTGCTGCAGGGGAGTCCCATATGTACCCCAGGCTTCCTCGGGAAGCCTCTGACCCCCCTCTCTGTGACGAGGCTGTGTTCCCAGCTCAGCTTGACCAGTGGGTCATCTGAGTCCCCAGAACTGTTGCCCACTGGTCACCCTGCCCCATAACTAGATGGTGCTCAGCCCAGCGACCCCAAGACCAGCCACCCAAAGCGAGTCGCACCAGGGGCTCACCTGCTCACTGCAGAGGGTTCTAAATCTGTAGCTCAGGTAACTGGAAAACAAGTGACTGGAATCCCCACCCCAGGGTTGCTAGGGCCAAATACCTGCCAAATCTGGGTGCTAGGCTGGGTTGGACTCTGCCCACCATCTGTAAAACCACATTAACCAGGAGGCTTAGAGGACGGGGCGTGTTCTGATTAACTGGATTCATTGGATATCTTAAGGGTGACTTGCAAAGTCTTTCTATAAGGTCCAACTTGAATAGCAAAAAAAATTGGGAAGACTGAAAGGTCCAGCAATAGCATATATAATTTTGGGTGGTTCGTTTAATGAAAAACCATGAAGTCATTCCAAATGTTAGAGAACATTCAATGCCTGGAGAAATGGTTGTAAGTTGTTAAGTGAAGTGTTTCAGAACACTAAGCCCATATTTGTAAAAAAAAAAAAAAAAAACCAATTTATTTACTGCTTATATATAGTAAGATGAAAAGACACTAAAATGCTCACCCTGCTCCATATGTTTGTGTGTTGATATGACAGATGACCTTTTAAATGTAGATTTTCTTTCTTTCTTTGAAAAGGTGGTACATTTACATGGTTCAGATTCAAACAGAAAGTTATCAAGTAAAAGTATCTCCTGGTGTCTAGCATCTTTGTCTCCCAGGCACCCAGTTCTCACCTGCAGGCACCTTGTGGGGTGCTATTTCGTGTGTACCTTTCCAGAGACATTTTATGCACATAAAGTAGCTTTCCTTCCCATTTATGCAAAATAGCATATTCTATCTACACCTTATTCTGTACCTTCCTGCCTGCCCTTCATATAGCTCAGCGATACTTCCTTACCTCTATATAAAGAGTTTAAGAAAAAAAAAAGATTTATTTGAGAGAGAAAACAAGTGGAGGGGAGAGTCAGGGAGAGGGAGAAGCAGGCGGGGCTTGATCTCAGGGATCCGGGATCATGACCTGAGCTGAAGGCAAAAGCTTAACCAACTGAGCCACCCAAGCGCCCCTATAAAGAGCTTTTTCATTCCATTTTCCCCAAAAAATCTAGTATTCCACTATATGGATGTATCTAAATTTATATAACCCATCCCCTACTGACGGACCTTGGAGTGGGTAGACTGTGGCGAGTTGAATTGTGTCCCCCCAAAAGATACGTTCAAATCCCAACCCCTAATACCTGTGAATGTGACCTTATTTGGATATAGGGCCTTTGTAGATATAATTAAGAATTTTGAGATAAAATCGTCCTGGGTTTAAGGTCCACCGATACACCTAAGGCCCTAAATCCAGTGCAGGGTGTCCTTACAAGAAAGGGAGAGGACACACACAGAGACACAAGGAGAAACCCACATGAAGACAGAGGCAGATGTGGGCCCATGTTCCTACAAACCAAGGAATGCTTGGGATGATTGCTAATATCCTTTGTGGTTTTGTTTTCGTACCTGCGTTACATCTGTAATCTGGAAGAAAACATTAAAACATCTATGTTCAAGCTGCAGTAAGGAAAAACTGGCCTTCTCCCAACTCTGGTCCATTCTGCCCACAGAGCATGGCATCCTCCCATCACTCTCTGCTCAGAGAAATCAACAGCTACTGAGAGCCTACTATGTGCCGTGATGCATGGCAGTGGCTTCTGATCACCCAGGAGGCAAAGCCCCACCCTTGGCCTGTCATTTGATACCTGTCATATTGTGGCTTTCTTGATCTACTAGGAGAATGGGAACTTCCACGGATTAACCAGGTCTTCTGAGCCAGCCCTAGAGGCAGCCCTGGTTGCGCAGATCCACCTGATAAAAAGCACGGATGCTGGAGCCAGACGCCCGGGGTTCTAACCCAGCTCTTAACCCAGCATTTAGCAGCCACGTGACTTCGGGCAAACTATCTAATCTCACTGCTTCAGTCTCATCGTTTGTAAAACGGGTGAGTACCTCCTTGTAGGGCTGATGTGATGGCGAAACGAGTTTTATGCCAAGTGCATGGAACAGTGCCTAGCACGTAGTAAGCGTCACCAAGCAACAGCTGTCAACAAGGCCCAAAGGAGCATGTGAAGTCAGCTGCCAAGGCCACAAAGGCCTTGAATCTGTCCAGATGCTTTTCTCTGAGACTCCCACTTCCAACACACTTTGCTCACTTCTTGTCTTAGTCATCTATTGCTGTATAACAGGATCCCCACAAATTTAGCAGCTTAAAACATTTACTGGCTGTTTCTCTGGGTCGGGAGTCTGGGCCCAGCTTGGCCGGGTCCTCTGCACAGCTGCAGTCAAGCCTTGGCCAGGGCTGGGGCTCATCTGAACGGCCAGCTGGGGAAGGACCGGCTTCCAGTCTCCTGCGGTTTGGGCGGGCAGTGCTCCGTTCCTTGCAGACTGCTGGACCAGGAGCTTTGGTGCCCTGTTGGCGGTCAGCCTGAGGCTGCCCTAGTTCCTTGCCTCTTTCACTCTCCAACTGGGGCAGCACACACATGGCAGCTTGCTTCTCCAAAGGCAGGGAGAGAGGGTCTGTCTCTGGACAGATGTCCTGACAGCAGGACAGATGTAATGTTCTGTAACATGATCGTGGAAACATCTTGTCACCTTTGCCTTGTTGTGTTGCTTAGAAGCCACGGGTCTGGCCTGTGTTGGAAGATTACATGAGACGTGCACACCTGGTGGTGGCAATTGTGGGAGCCACCTTCGTCTGTCAGGGTATTCAAATCCCCCTGCTCTGTAGTGCGCAGCCCAGGCCTCACACCCCCCCCGTCCCCCCCACCAACTTGGAAGCTCCAGGCAGGTGTCTAAGTGAAGAGCAGCCTGGTTTCGTAGTGGGGATTTTCCTGGGGACCCTAGTCCCACAGCAGTTTTTTTTTTTTTCCAGCCAGGATTCCAGTTGGTGATGGAGAACACCACACTGTTTCTTACCTCACTCCCAGCCCTCACAGATCTGTCAAGGTGTTTTGGGGGTTAGATCCTTGACAGCTGCTTCACCAGCGGCCTCACCACCATTTTGAGTAATGGTTCCGGGTAAGTTATCTGGTTCTAGATGAAGGTAACTACGGCCAAACTACGGGATATGGGCACCTGCTAGTGCCTCTGTGCCTCCTGTGAGTGACACTTAAGGACAGAGCCTGTGGTCACCGCCTAACCAGGAGAGAGCCCAGACCCAAAGCCCAGGTCCATCTCCAGAACCCAAAAGCCCACGTCCAAGGGGAGGTACTTCCACTGAAGGAAGCGCTCCTTGAAGGTAAGCTTCCTTTTCCAGCCTTCAAGCGCTTTGGAAGATGGGATGTAATGGGCAACAGACGTAAAGTTTACTACTCCTGAGACTGCTCTGATGCAAATTCCTTACTCTTATTTCAAGGGCAGAGGGCCCTTCATTCTAATTTTCTAAGTCCCCCTCTTAGACGGTTTCTTAGCCAGAGCAGCGGTTTCCTTAACTAACAAAAACTGCAGCTTTCTTACAGAACCCTCGAGCATGGGAAGTGCTGGGGCCTTTAGTTTTTGGCTTCTGCAAGACTGTACACCCTTACTATTTAGGAAGATGCTTCCGTGGAGAGGTCTTGGGGGGAGGCAGGGGCCCCCTCCCACATTACAAGCTAAAAAGACGGTGCTCTTCCAGATGCACAGGGGAGAAGTTACTGGTTGCCTGAGGGCAACAAGACCCAATTCTCTTACTCTGGCTAATCTGACACCCTGGCACCAGACTTTAAATCTGGACACACAATCAGCGGTGAGAGGTGGCTGTGAGTCTAGCTGTGGCACCCTGGATGGCTTCGTGGCCATGCTGCCAAAAACATGTTCATCCTTGACGTACATCGACAGAAGTAAAAATATTTATTTTTTTATCTTCGGAATCTGGTCCCACAAAAAGGCCAACACTTTTTTTTCAGTTCATTGTCTTGACCCTTCAAAAAATCGATCTTTCAATTAAGAGGTAAAGTATGCTGAGAAAAGCAAATTTCGAGGTGTGCTCAGGTAAAATTATTTCTCATAAACCAATAATACAGGCAACCCTAGGCTTCCAGTTCGCTCAGAACTCCTTCTGTCATGTACAGTCTCTGAAGGAGAAAAGAAAGTAGGAGGCTGTCTGCAGACAAGGCACTTGAGAAACCACAGCAAGAAGAAAACCCAAGGCCCCTGGGAACTGTGCTGGCAGCCCGTGAACCCAGAGAGCTGTCGGTGGACAGGACGGCCAGACCCCCCAACCTCCATGAGAACAGTTCCGGCTTTCCTGCCCAAACACGCTTCCGGCGCCTGCATCAGCCTGGCACTGCCCACCTGGCCCGGAAGACCCGGCAGCCAGGCCACTTGGCCAAGACGAACACTGCTTTCTGAAGCTCAGAGCAGTTCCTACGGCGGACAGGGTGGAATGCTTTCCGAGGCCCCTGCTGGCGCATCTTGCAGGGGCAGTCCCTTTTGCAAAGGCAAGTTAGTGCAGATCAGCACGTTAGCAAAGCAAACATTAAAGATTTTTTAAAAGCTGATTAATACTCTTGATTTCCCTCCTGATTAGCTGTTCGAGCTGCAGCCTATAAACCTGCCAGAAATCAGGAAGGAATCCCCCCTCTGAAGGCACCTTGAATGAAGTGGCTACAGCCAACGGGAGTGCAGAAGGCCCTCCTTCTGGACAGTGATCACGGGACACCTGTAACCACTGAGAAGGGCCCAGCTGAGGCCAGGTAGCACGCTCAACCCCTTCTTTTGCTTTGGGGGCTTGTGTTTAATATGGGTCATGTGATGGAAGCAGCAGTCTCAGAGTCTCTCATGTCAAGAGACGGACAGGGATGGGGATGCTGGCGCTCTCCTCCTCCTGTGTTGTGGTTGCACACTCGGGTCCCAGCAAACAGTGTGACATTGTGCCAATTTACTGCCTAACATGCCAGTCTGTCAAGAAAGTCAGGTGAGGAGGAGAGGAGTCATGCTCCAAACAGAGGCCGGCTGGGGAGTGCTTCGTCCTCCTTCCTTTGGCCCAGGTGAAGTGGTTCCTTTCCAGAAATTGTATGAGGAAAAAGAGGGGTTGCACTCAAATCAGAACTGGACCCAGCCTGTGCCTGGTTGAGTCTGGCTGGAAGTCGACCTGTAAAGGGAAAAAAGGGAGGGGTGGCAGAGTTTAGATGTTTGAAAATACAAAGTCGATAAAGCGTGGCTTCTCTCTGGGCAAAAAGAGCTCCAAGAAGTGAGTCCCTGAATGTTCTGGAGCAGGGGTCAGCAAACTACAGCCCAGAGACCAAACCTAGTTCTGTCTCTGGAGATAAAGTGTTACTGGCACAGAGCCATGCCCATTCACTTACACGCCATCCGTGGCTGCTTTTGAGTTACAAAAGCAAAACTGAGTAGAGGCCATAAGGTCTGTAAAGCCTAAACGATCTATCTCCACAGAAAACACGTGCTGAGTCCTGTCCTACAGACTATCCCTATAAACAACGGTGCAATAAGTTTTTAGCATCTCTTCACCTCGACTCCAAGGAAAGGCTTCAAGTTTTATTGAGGCAGAGAAGGCAAGAGACCACGAGAATGGGCCAAGGCCAGAACCAAGGTTAATTCTGTCCAGTGTTCTGGGATAGCTGGGGCAGGGGTGGGGAGAGTGGGGTGGAGGAAGAGGGGAGCTGCTACTGGGGATGAGCCAAAGGCGGTTGGAAGACCAGAGAGAGTTACAGTGTAGCCCCAGGTCCCCGAGCAGTAGAGAGCAGTGAAAAGCCTTCACAGGGACGAGTATGCCACCCAAAGCGGGCACTCTGGGGCTCTGCCCTCTGGCTGGCCTGAAAACGTCCAAGTCTGGGCGGTTGCTCCAAACACCAGAAGAAAAGCATCTGGAACAATCCCAGGTTTCTAGGGACACAGCCCTGGCCCCAGTCCCACCACAAAAACGTGACCCTCTCCTCACCCTGTGGATTTGGTAAAGTCTCCCCAGATGTCGGTGGTAGCAGTCATGGCAGGCTTCGGGTGTGGCCAGGACATGGTGGCACCTCCTACTGATGTCCCCAAATCCGCCAGGCAGGGAGAGAAGAAAAGGAGACAGAGGAGTCAGAAATCTCTCTTTCTGGTGGTCTCAGTGACCCTGAAATCAGTCTCATGATTCCAGGTGGCCGGGAAAGACACACAGAGACCTGCTCTGGGACAAACAAACAAACAAACAAGCTGCCACATTTCCATCTGCTCACGAGCCCTTGAGGGCTCCTAGAGAAAAGTGGAAAGCCATATACATACAAGGTGGAAGGCAGGGTGCCAGGGAGCACGAGTCACACACCATCCATCACTCATACCTGAAGCTGACCTTGTTTTCAACTGCTTCTATGTTGGCAATCTGTTTAAAATTCACTATCTCCCGCCCTGGCTTCTTGAATCTCCCGCCCACCAACGATGCAAGGTCATCTTCACGTAGAGCCCTTAGTCCAGGGTCTGGATCAACTGAATGAAAAAGTTATGCTCCAGACATGTGCCAAGTGCTGGGACCCAAAGTGGTTAGGGTTTGGGGCGAGCCTTCCGGAAGAAGCAACACAGAAGCCGGTATCTGTGTGTCTCTCTTCATCAAGGTGGGGCCACCTGGGGCTCCCGTGCCTGCCTCTGTGCCAGCACCTCGCCCCGTGCTGCTGTCCCTGCTAAAGGCCCTGTGCCTTCCTCCCTCCGCCCTCCCACCAATTTGCTATTTCTAATCTGCTCTGGGACGGGAGACCAGATAACACCAGGGCCCTCAAGGATTTAGTTTTGCAGCTCGCCAAGTGCTTACTGTGCATTGTCTCCTTCAGACCCATCCCAGGCCCTGGGGGAAGACAGGCCAGGACCAACTGTGTGACTTGATGCGCATCCCTCAAGTCTGTTTCCTTATCTCTCAAACGGGGGTGAGGGACGATAACAGTGACTACTTCACAGAACCGGTCTGTGCTGCAGGAGCTAATACAATGAAATGCTTGGAGAAGGCCCAGCACACGGTGGTGATAATGACCACATTAGTTGAACACGACCCGACAAACACAAGCACTTAGTGTTTTAGGTATTGTTCACGGATCAGCTCATTTGATCCTCACAAGAAACCCACACCGTAGGCTATCATGACTGCTCCCATCCTACAGATGAGAAAACTGAGGCACAGAGAAGCAGGCAATCTTCTGACTGTCACACAACTGATAAGCTAGAATGTGAACTCAGCCAGTCTGGTTTACAGGATATACTAAGTGCTCAAGAAATGGTAGCTCTTCGTGGCTCATTATCTGACACCATTTTGTCTGCAGACACACTAATTGCCTGTCTTGTACGTTAGAATGTAAGCCCTTGGGGCGCCTGAGTGGCTCAGTCAGTTGAACGTCTGCCTTCAACTCAGGTCATGATGCCAGGGTCTTGGGATCAAGCCCCACATCGGGCTCCCTGCTCAGTGGGGAGTCTTGCTTCTCCCTTTCCCTCTGCTGCTCCCCCTGCTTGTGCTCTGTCTCTCTCTAATAAATATTAAAAAATCTTAAAAAAAAAAAAAAGAACATAAGCCCTTGAGGGGCGCCTAGTTACTCAGTCAAGTGTCTGACTCTTGACTTTGGCTCAGGTCATGATCTCAGGGTCATGAGATCAAGCCCCACATTGGGATCTGTGTTCCAAGTGGAGTCTCCTTGAGATTCTCCCTCTCCCTCTGCCCCCATCACTCTTGATTTCTTAAATAAATAAATAAAACCTTAAAACAAAACAAAACAAACCAGAAGCCCTTGAGAGCGGGAACTTGGTGCTGTACTTACAACATTCCCAGGGCTTAAAACACTGCCTGGCACATAGTAGATACTCCGTATTAGCTGTTAAACATGCACCAGCAACCGAGGGAAGGCCTAAGATAGCAGCTCTCAGACCTTCGTGAGCATACAAATAATGTTAGGAACACAGATTCCTGTCCACGTTCCTGGTGATGCCAAGGCAGGTGGTCCTGTTACTCTGAGAAACAATGCTGGAAGAATGGTTCCTGGTACCGTGGCAGAGGCTGGCTGACCACTACTCCTGCCCACTCCTGGGCTGGGAATTCCCCACAGGCTGAGGTTGGAAGCCTGACCGGCAGATGGGGAAGCCTATGTCCACACCCTTAAAAGGGAAAGAAAGCAGGCTTCCTGCAATCCTGTCCTCTAGAACCTAGTGAAATCTGTGTGGAGAAATCACCCAGCCTGGGGAAGGCTTGGAACATCAGCTAGGCTGGGCGGGTAGGGTGGAGAGGCCAAGGAAATGGGCTAGCTCCCCATCTCTATCGGTGGCTGGTACTAGGCACTAACTTCTGGAATCCCAGGGTCACCAAAAGGCATTCCTTACACCTTAGAACAAGCACCAGCACAGCGTGCTGGGCGAGTTGCCTCTCAGCTTCCCAGGACCCCGAGGGCCTTACCAAGGACCTTGCTCTAAACTAAATCCCCGATTTTATTTTCTACCACTCACCCTGGCATACTTATGCTACATCCATTTTCCTACACACACCAGGTGATTAAAAATCTGAGCCTTATTCACACTCTTCTGTCTGGAATGCCAAGCGTCCTCTGCCCCCATCTCCTCCCTTCAAGGCCCACCTCAATGCCACCTTTTCCATGGAGCCTCCCCACATCATCCTGGCTGGTCATATGTGGACCCATACAATTGGTCTTTGTGCCCAGGACTTCTGTCTCCTACCAGATATGAGCAGACCGTGTCTCTATCACCCACCCACTCGACAAACACTGAGCAGCTTCTAAGAACCAGGAACCCACATGCTGATGCTTTCATAGCAAATCAGTGTCACAACCAACAATCTGCAGCCCCCACCCATCGGGGGTAGACAGAGGCACTAAGCGGGGAAGTGGCAGGTATCAGGGAAGAGGGGAACCCCTTACCCAGTCTGGGCAGGATCAGCTTCATGGTGTCACAGACAGGTACCACATGATGGACAGTGTGAGTGAAGGAGGGAGCACCACGGGGCCCCAGCTGCACCTGGCGGCGGAGAGGAACCCGCAGGTGCAGCTTTCGCAGCAAGTACAGTGACTCCCGAGCACTGACCTGAACTGGGAGCAACTGCTGTCTGGACGAGGGATCCCCCCCCAGACAACTGCTCCACAGGTGGGGGGATCAGGGTGGAGAATTTCCCCCCCGGGGGCGGAGGAAGCAGGCTCAGTCCTCCTGTGCTGGCGGGCCGCGCTCGGGGAGTCCCAGCTGCTCCTTCCTTCTTCTTCATGTTCTGAAGAGAGGCGAGGGATGCAAACCAGTCAGTTCTGCTGGGGTCCCCCTGCTTATCGGAAAACCCCACAAAGAGGGCCCAAGTGGCCCCCAAGCCCCAAACATCTGTATAACCAAAAGATGGTCAACAGCTGCCCAGCACTCACTGTGCTGAGCTGTGTTCAACACATCACAATTCCAGAGCTATCCCAAATACATCTAATGCGAAAATTCAGCCCTGGGGCGCCTGGGTGGCTCAGATGGTTAAGCGTCTGCCTTCGGCTCAGGTCATGATCCCAGGGTCCTGGGATTGAGTCCCACATAGGGCTCCTGACTCGGCGGGGAGTCTGCTTCTTCCTCTCCCTCTGCCTCTCCCCCTGCTCATACTCTCTCTCTCTCTCTCTGTATCTCTGTGTCTCAAATGAATAAATAAAATCTTTAAAAAAAAAAAGAAAACTCAGCCCTGGCTTCATTAAGCATCAGGGAAATACAAATTAAAACTACAAATCAAAACTACAAATCAAAACGAGTGCTATACCATTACACACCCACCAGAATGGCCAAAATGCAGACTATCAAGTGCCATCAAGGATGTGGAGCAACCAGAACGCTCACTCACACACTGCTAGGGGAGGTGTAAACGGGGAACGCTACTTGGAGAAACTGTCTGGAAGAATCTATAAAGCTGAACATGTGAACTGATGACCCTACAATTTCCCTCCTAGAAACAGACCCCACAGAAACACATACTCATGGCACCGAAAGACATGTACTTGGACGTTCATAGCCATCACTATTTGTAATAGCTCCAAACTGGCAACTATCCCAGTGTTCACTGTCAGTTAAAGAGTAACACTGGGGGGCGCCTGGGGAGCTCAGCTGGTGAAGCATCTGACTCTTGGTTTTGGCTCAGGTCATGATCTCAGGGCTCAGGTCGTGATCTCAGGTCTTGGGATCGAGCTCCATGTGGGGCTCTGCGCTCAGGGAGTCTGCTTGAGGATTCTCTCTCCCTCTCCCTCTGCCCCTCCTCACCTCAAATAAATAAATAAATCTTAAAACAAAACCCACAAAGAGTACCACTGTGATGCATTCTCACAATGAAATACACCACTGCTGTGACAATGGACAAACTATTAGCAACAGAACAGAGGCAGATTTTGTTTGAAAACAAAATCTAGGGCATTCCACATCAGGACCGTGGTGACTCTGTCCTGTGGACAAGAACAGGAGAGGGGCTTCCAGAACGCAGATAATCTCTGCTTCTTGATCTGGGGGCTAGTTTGTGTGGGTACATTTGGTTTTCAAAAATTCACTGAGTTCTGCATTTATAATGTGTGCACTTTTCTGTACGCATATCGTACTTCCATAAAACATTAAAAAAAAAGGGGCGCCTAGGTGGCTCAGCCAGTTAAGCATCTGACTTCAGCTCCAGTCATGATCTCAGTGTCCTGGGATTGAGCCCTCCATTGGGCTCCCTGCTCAGTGGGCAGTCTGCTTCTCCCTTTCTCTCTCCCCCTGCCCCTGCCCCTGCTCTCAAGTAAATAACTAAAATCTTAAAAAAAAAAAAAAAAAGAAAAGAAAATTAAAAACCAAAACCAAAACCTGAGCCCTGATGTGAGCCGGAAACCAGTGCAAGTTACAAAGATGAAGACACAGTTCCCACCTTGTAAGGAGCAGCAGCTTAATCCAGCACTAAGACCACAGCCCTGAAGCCAGAAGCCTGAAAGCCCTCAGTCAGAGTCCAGCTGTGCTGGTTATTTCCAGCTCTATGACCTGGGCAAATCCCTTAAACTCTCTAAGCCTCATTTCCTTGCCTGTAAAATGGGAGAATGCTTAATTCATATAAGTGCCTTAAAAAAAAAAAAAAAAAAAAAAACCACTACCTGGCACACAGCTGATGCTCATTAAATGTTAGTTTCCTCCCAGCAATAGAGGAATCACATCCCAACCAGTCCACTGGACATGACCTGTATTTTCTCTTAAGGGCCAGTTGGCCAACGTCAAGGGTCCCAAATCATCACCAGCATGAAGCAGAAAAGAGGAGAAAGAGATAGTAAATAAAGAGTAAGTAAAGAGAAAGAGCATTATCTTAGGGTTACAAAGTTTCTTCAAAAAACATTTCCATGTGGTCCTTGGTTCCCCCAAATCACTCCAACCCCCACTCCCTGTAGTCCGGTGAGGACCGAGTCCTGGACACCCAGCCCAGCCCTACCTTTTCCCATTCTCCACAGGAGCTAACAAGGGGAAACCCAGATGCAGGGCAGCTCAAGATGAATACACGGGGTGTCAGGACACCACCACCACCAGCAGAAGCTGCCCACGAATCCCAGCACCTACCTCAACACCTTCCTGTCCAGAGCTCTCCCAAATCTTCCTTACTCAAGGTGCAAGGCCAGGATGCAGCCGACCCCTATTCTAAGAGCCTGGTCAGAAATGCCAGCTCTGGGAGCAAGTGACTGAGGCTTCTTTTCAACTCAGAGGCTTTGCACATGCTGTTCCCTCTGCTTGAACCGCCTTTTGATCCCCCTCTTTCCCCTTCCTTACAGGTCACTTCTTCCAGGAACCCTTCCTTGCTTCCCCTAACTATGGGCTGCGTGCCCCTCCTCTAGGAGCTCATGGCACTGCGCTGCATCCCCTCCCCTGCCAGGTTGTGGTCATATCTTGTCTCGCCCATCTCCGTTTAACTCTGAGCTCCACGAGAGCAGAGCTCTCTCGTTTACCCCCGGCACAGGACCTGGCAAAAGGCCGCTGATCCACAAACATCTACTCAACTGATGGAAGTGAAGGGTGGGAAAAGAGGGGTGGGCTCTGGGGCTGGGGTTGGGTGCTGGCCAACAAAGCCAAGTGAGGGTGGGACTCACCGCGATGTTGAGCTTGATGGTCTGGCCCTCTTTGAAGCCTAGGTCCAACTTGGGGCCCTGGTCTGGGTTCTGGGCCTGTTTTGCAAATTCACACTGCTGTTTCACCCACCTGGGCAGAGAATAAGAAGAAAAAGGTGAGGAAGAGACCAGCCGCCCTGCATTCACTCCCTCACTCCACCTCCACCTGCCATCGCTCCAGGAAGAGGTTTTATATGGCAGAAAGAGCACACGCAGGCTTGGAAGTTGGGCCTGAATTCAAATCCTGACTCTGACACATAAGTAGCTGCGTGCACATCAGTTTCCTCATCAACAAAATGCGAATACAATTCTGTATGTGTTAAAGACAGCTATGAAAATTCAGTGAGCTCCTGGATGTAAAAGAAGGTCCTGACACCAGTCTTCAGGAAATCTGAGAACCTGGCCCTTTCCTCCCTAGCACTTGGCATGAGGACTAGGACAGTGCATCCACACCCCCCACTCACAAGGACTCATAAGGTAGATGGTGAGACAAGACAGATGCCCAGGAAGTAGAGAGCAACACAAAGGTCCCCCCCACCCTCCACACGATACCCATCTAGCAGCCCCCTGGGCAGGGACAACAGGCCAGGCAAGGGCCAGACGTGCCCAAATGAGTCGCTGCACAAACTCCAACTTCCCAGCGGCCAGAGATGGAGGCCTGCAGGTGGCAGGGGAGCAGTCTTTCCTGCCCTTGTCTTAGCTTTAGAAAGGACTCCCAGGACATATCACAGAGGAACAGGCTCAGGAAGGCCCCATGAGCCTCCCATGAGCCTCCCATGAGCCTCCCACGGCCTCCGGTTCCTCTGGTGCCGGTAAGGGAAGAGGTATGGCAGCTCAGAGGCTGGGCCCGCTGACCAGTGAGAGATAGGGCCAGGGGAAAGGGAAAGGACTGGAAAGGAGAGAAGGCAGCCTGCCCCACAGGAGCAGGGAGTCTCCTGGAGGCTCTGCTGGCAGACGAATCCCACACAACCAGCTGGGTATCCTAAGGTGGGAAACCATTCTGTCCAGGGAAAGCAGGGAGGAGGCATGAGCACGTGTGGCCTGGAACCACTCACTTGAAATGGTCCTGCAATGCAACATTGAAGTCAAAGGCATCGCCTCGGTCCCCGAAGCCAATTCCAATAAACGCCCGGCGTCCTGGGGATAACACATGATTAATCCCACTTGCCAGAGGCAGAGGAAACCCTTCTCATGAGGAGGACCCCCCCGAGACCCGCACCTACCGTTTCCATCTTCGATGCGGATAACGAAGTACCTGCTGGAATCCGTCACGCTCTCCACGGCTGTGCCAGGAAACTGATCCACCGGGGCCTGAGCAAAGAGCTCCCCTGGAAGCACAAGTTAGGGTGAGCCTTGAGCCCCCTTCCAGCCTGACATTTCTATCACACCACTGGGGTCTTTTTCCTGAAAGGCAGCGAGGCAAACCTTACTCTGGGGTTCAAATCAAATCCATTCTGATGGAAGAGAAGACACAGACCTATAACCAAGGAAAGGTTCAAGTCAGGAGTGGCCTGCAGGTCAGATACAGCCCAGTGTTAATATTCTTAATTTAACTGCCAAACTTTTCAAAACCAAATTACATGTAAAATAATCCAGATTTCTGGTCTTCTCTGACAATCCAAAGCTCTAGCAATGCTGGAACTCCATTCCCACAGGAGGGCTGAGCTAGAGCTGACCTGCCCACACCCGAGGGCCCCGGAGCAGGCAGGCCCTGGTCCAGGTACAGCACAACCTCAGAAAAGGCCTAGGACCTGAGGCAGGACTGTAGAGGAGCCGCGGAATCCACTCAAAGAGGGTTTGGGCACCTACAGAAGAATGTGAAGCAGGGGCGCCTGGGGGGGCTCAGTCAGTTAAGCGTCTGCCTTCGGCTCAGGTCATGATCCCAGGGAGCTGGGATAGGGTCCTGCATCAGGCTCCTTGCTCAGCGGGGAGCCTGCTTCTCCCTCTGCCTGCCCCTCCTCCCGCTTGTGCTCTTTCTCTCTCTCTGACCAATAAATAAATAAATAAAATCTTTAAAAAAAAAAAAAAAGAGGAGGAGGATCTGAAGCAGCTGAGATAGGCCAAGAGGACCACCGGTTTTAAAAGGGGCCCCTGCAGAACACATCCCTTGTCACTCCGGCTCTCTAGGCCCCAGTGCACTGCACACCTCTGGGGGCGTTCTGGACTCGCATCACTTCCACAGGTGCTGACCTCTGTCCGCGCTTCCAGGACTTGACCAAGGCTTCTCTACTCAATGCTGGGGTTCACAGGTGACTGTGCAATCAAGGCTGAACTGAATCCAAATCAGTGGACCCCAAGTCTGTAGCTTCTTGATAATTTCTCTGCTCCCCTAGTTTGGTCCCTGGGGATCTGGGACTCACCTGGACGCCTTCAGCCTAGAGCAGTGATTCTCAACCAAGGGTGGTTTTGCTCCCTATCCGCCCCCCCACCCCCCCAGGGATATGTGGCAATGTGTGAAGAGATTTTTGGTTTTCACAACTTGGGCGGTGCTATTGGCATCTGGTGGACAGAGGCCAGGAATGTTGCTACACATCTGAAATTTGACTTGACAGCCCACAACACTCCCCTGGCCCAAATGCCACTAGCCTTGGCCAAGAAGGAGTGCAGAGCGAGAGACAAAGAGGACCCAACAGGCCTGACCCGAGCGAAGAGCATGCTGGGATGGCTCCTGCAGGGGAGGCCCAGCTCTGGGCAGTCGCTGTTCCACTAGGCTGTCACCGTAAAGTCCGTTCCCAAGGCTCCCAGAAAACAGGTGTTGCCATGCCTTGTGAGATCACCTGGGACACCCCAGCAAACCTCAAAGCCAGAGTCCTCTGGCCTAGTCACAGCAGCTGTCTTTTCAAACTCCTCCGCAGCCAATACCCAGCCAGCCCCATGTTCCAGAACAGATCAATGCTTTGGGTCACCTTGCAGTTCACAAAGCAACTGGATAAATGTGTGCTCACTTCATACTTCCAACGATCCTGTGAAGTATGAGCTAATGTGATCCCCATTTCAAAAAGGAGGCCAAGGCACTAGAGGTCATGTGTGGCTCACCCAAGGTCTCACAGCTCAGACACAAGAGATGCAGTTCTCAGAGGCGGCCGGTTTTGCCTATGACGCTTTACACTTGGTCCCATCCCACCCAGGAAAATCTCTACATGTTAGAAAAATAAATGACCGAATGCCGTGGCGCCCGATGCCTGCTCTGGGGGCTGGGGCTCTTTCAGACCGCATTGCCCTCCACAGCTCACCCGGAGGCCCTGGTGGCACATGACTTCCAGACAGATTTCCCCTAAGGTGACATCTGCCAGCTGACCCCACCACAGCCCGGCTTGGCTTGTCCTTTCACCAAAGAAAGAGCTGAGTAGGACAGCTTCCGGCTCTTTCAGTTAATGGGCGTGGTCAGTCTGGGGAGTTACCATTTAGTTGATAAACAGAATTCCTGAGTAAGAAGCAGACCTCAATTGCAGAGGGTTGTGCGTCTTCCCCCCAAAGCTGGTCTTCAAAGCAAACTCTGGGGCTTCCTACCTGGGACCAACCTGTAGGTCTCCTCTTCCTGGATTCCAAAATTAGTATGTTCTTAAGGATGCCCCCCATCAAAGACAGATGCTTGACAGGAAATACTCCCTTTACACCTGGAGACAGTGCTTTCTACAATTAAAGGTGGGGGGAATGGAGGCGGCTTAGAGGTACAGCTGGGCCTTTGATTTCGAGGATTGGTTCCCATGACCCGAGTGGACCGGCCAGGGCTGCCTTTCCCTTCACAAAGTAGGAGGTGTGGCATCTCAGCCCCACTAGGGCCTCCCCTGCCTTTACCTGAGGTCCTGTCCTCCAGCTTGATGTAGGCCACCTGCCCTTTTGCAGTGATCCGCAGCCGGCCACTCCATGATGGCTGGTCCAGCTGCCACTCCGCGGCCCTAAGGGGACAAAAACCATGCTGGGGACGGGAATGGGGAGGGCATGTGGGCTGCCTGCTCAGGACCAGAGGCTGGCAAACTTTCTCTGAAAAGGGCCATCCCATCCCTGTCACCACTACCCACTCCGCGGCTGTAGGGCAAAAGCAGTCATCGACAGTACAGGAGCGTGCTGGTGCTTTACGGATTGGAATGGAGTGTTTTCTGCTGAGTGTGAACGTATTTCAGCGCAACTTTCTGGACACTAAAAACCTGAATTTCATATAATTTTCGCATTAAGAAATATTCCTTCTTTTAAAATGTTCCCCAACTATTTAAAAATGTAAAAACCGTCCTTAGCTTGTGAGACATACAAAAACACAGTGGGTCGCAGTTTGCCGACCCCAGTTCTAGACTACAGAGACTTTTTTTTTTTTTTTTTTTGTGAAAAGGGGTCATTTTAATTTCAGAGTCTTATTACACAGGAAGGTAACAGACTAAACTGCGAAGAAACATTTACAATATAAATTCAGTTGTCTTCAAAGCATGTGATTATTATTATTTTTTTATTCTTATGTTAATCCCCATACTAGACTACAGAGACTTTTTCTCAGAAGTAGGACTTCCAGTTCTCTTTCTGTAAAGGAAGCAGTTCCTGGGCCTGCTGTTTCAGACACTGCTGGGCTGTGGGGGCCAGAGTGACCATTTGGGACCCGTGAGATGATCTCAGAGGAAAGGCAGGGCGGGAGCAATCATATAACAGAAAGAGAACAGGAGAGCAACTATACGTGTGAGGAAAGTGGGTGGGTGTCCAACAAATATAACCCCAAAGGTGTCCCAGGCCGAAAGAACCCCAGGAAACCACGGACCTATCACAATAGCTTCTTTGGGTACTTTTAAAGCAGTAACTTCACATTTTACTTCTAAGAAGCAGTTCAGTAAACCCCCCAAATAGCAAGAACCTTGGGTGTTTTCAAGACGCTTTTCCTGGAAGTCCCCAAGCGACTCCATTAACTATGGACACAGGTTGTTTTGAAGACCACACAAATGCAGACTCTCGGGGACGCCTGGGTGGCTCAGTCGGTTAAGCGTCTGCCTTCGGCTCAGGTCATGATCTCAGGGTCCTGGGATCGAGTCCCACATCGGGCTCCCTGCTCAGCGGGGAGCCTGCTTCTCCCTCTGCCTCTGTCTCTCTCTCTGTCTCTCATGAATAAATAAATAAAATCTTTAAAAAAACCCCAAAAAACAAAAAACAAATGCAGACTCTCGATTCACAACCAGCAGACTGTTTCAGTTCCTCCTAGTGGGGCAACACAGGCCTTAGATCCAAGCTAAGAGGGGCTCTGAGGCTCAAGGGCAGGGGCTGCCAGTTTCCTCTATGCCAAACCAGCCAGGCTTGACATTTGGGAACCTCACTCTCGGGGGGCCAGGAGGGACCAAACCCATCCTACTGAAGGGGATCAGAGTAGACTGACCATCCGGGTTTGGTGTCCAATCTCCAGTTTGATAACAGAAAGCAAACGTGTTTTTGTAATTGTTTCTCTTGTTGCTTTCATGCTACTTTTAAGTCACACCACGGATGTACTAGGTGTTCAATAAAATAATCTGTTATCTAGAAAATCAGCTACAAGTTCGTGTTAACACAATTGGAAAGTAACAAGAGGCCAGATACGTGGACACGCCACCATTCTTGCGGTGCAGGCCAATCCTGTATTCCAAATCACTGAGACAAACATTGCCTTCAAAAGCGACACCACCCCCGACCCAGGGACACAAAACAGCTACAGACCAGGTTGTCCGTAACAGGTACATCTTTTTTTTTTTTTTTTTCTCCTTCTTTTCCTAGGTAACGCATAGGCTTGGTAACAAAATGCAAACAGCACAAAAAAAGCATATCGTAAAAGGAAGTCTCCTTCCAACCCCCACTGCCCTTTCCTGCGTTCCCTTCCAGTCCCTCCAAGCCTCTGTTTATCCCTCTCAGGGGAACATTTCACTGAAGCAGCGCAGATGCACTCCTCCCAACCGCCACAAGCTGTGATAAGGCCTGAGGTTCGTGCAAGGGAGCTGGGCAGGGAGGGATCCCTGGGCTCTGGCCATCCGCTTACAGCTCCCTGGACGGTCCTTTCGGCCAGTTCTGAGCTGTTTCCCTCCCCCTGGGGATTTCCGCCCCTGATAGGACCCCTCCCCCTTCAGGCTTTTCAAGGTTCCCTTCAAGGCCACCAATTAGGGCTGAAAGAAAAGGGCTTGTGACACCCCCCCCCCAACCACGCTTGGGGACACGGCTAAACACGGCTCCAACGCCTTCCCCGCGCTGGGAGCCCCGTGCGGCAGACTGAGACCTCCCTGCTCTGGCCTCGAACTGGGAGAAACCGCAGTATTACCTCCCGCCTCTCCCCTAAACCGGCCGGGGCCGTCCTCGGCTCCCACGGTGGGCGTGTCGGGCGGCGGGGAAGGGGTTAAATTGGGGTCAGCCTGGCCTTGCGGCAAGCGGTCACCTGTAACCACGGTTGGTGGCTCGCGGCGGGATGCGGTAGACGTGGACCTCCGGCTTGACACAGAGCACCGACTCGTACTCGCCCTCCTCCATCTCGACACCCTCGGACCGCCGGACTTCCGGCTCCTTCCCCGCCTCGGGGCCGGAAGCGACGCGACTCTATGACCCGGGTCAGGCTAGAGCGGCAGCTTGCGGGCCTCAGCACGGTTGTCTCCCGCGCGCCCTCTGCTGGCGGCTCTGGCTCAAGACACGCGGCGGACGGATCCTGAAGCCACGTGATTAGGGCCAAGCGCTTTTGGGGGCTTCTCGCTCCCCCGAGGCTTCATGCGCAGCAGAGAAAACTTAGGTGCAGACACCACCGCAGTCCGTTGTCTGGTTGTGGATCATCCCCATCCCCTCAACACTTACACTTGGGGCCCAGTTGGCTGAGATTCAAAGCTGTATCTACCTATACAGCTCACCCTGCAGCAAATCCCTCCTCCCGCCTTTACTTCTCTGGGCTCTTCGTGAATGTCCTTCCTTTTCCTGACTCTAGAAGCCTCCATTGAGGCTCCTCCTCGAAGAGAGAGGCTTACCTGACCCACCGCTAAGTGGGGCGCCACCCTTATCCTCCCCCACCACGTGCCCAGGGCCCAGTGTGGCCTCGACTCGACAGAGAGCAAAGTCTACTAATTTAAGTCATGAAAAAAGACTCCCAGTCCTAACTTGGATTTCTCACAGAATGTCATAGGGGATACATTTTGTCCAGCCATAGTCAAATTCTAATTCTCAAAATCCCTTCTCCTGTACCATCCTCTCATTCGTTCCACGGTTATTTACTGTTTACAATGTGCCAGGTCCTCCGTGGGGAACAGCTGATCCCAAATCTTTGCTTCCCTGAATGCTCCCAAACTTGCTCCACCCGCATCTCCTCTCTCCTCTCTCTCCTTGTACTCACGCTGTATAAGTTCTTTATTATAGAATTAATCTAACCTCTTAAAAGATCTTTTTTTTTTAATTGTGGTAAAATATACATAGCATACACTTTAACACTTTAACCATTTTTGAGAGTGCAATTCAGTGGAATTAAGTACATACACAATATTGCATGACTATCACTGCCGTTTCCAGGATTTTTTCATCTTCCCCAACAGACACTCTGTACCCATTAAACAATAACACCCCATTTCCCCCTTTTCCCCAAGCCCCTGGTATCCTCTATTCTGCTTTCTGTGTCTATGAAATTGCCTATTCTAGAAACCTCATATAAGTGGAATCATACAGTATCTGTCCTTTGTATCTGGCTTATCTCACTTACTATAATGTTTTCAAGGTTCCTCCCTGTCATAGCATCTATCAGAATTTCATTCCTTCTGATGGCTGAATGATATTGCACCATGTGGATATTCCACATTTTGTTTACCCAGTCCTCTGTTGATGGATTTCTGGGTTCTTTCCACCTTTTGGCTCCTGGGAATAATGCTGCTATGTTTGAGTCCCTGTTTTCAGTTCTCTCAGTATCTACCTAGAAGTGGATTTACTGGGCCATATGGTAATTTTATGTTTAGCTTTTTGAGGAACCACCAACTGTTTTCTTTAGTGGCTGCACCACGAAACGTTCGCACCGGCTCTGAACAAGGGTTCTGATGTTTGCACCTCCTCACCAATACCTCTTTTCCGTTTCTTTGATCACAGCCATCCTGGTGGGTGTAAAGTTAACTTCTCTTTATGTGAATTGATTTAACCTCTAATTTCAACTTTGCTCATTACCCTGATTCTCTGCAACAAAGAAGAAATTGAGAAATGATCCAGAAAATGAGATTTCTTCTTCCTTCGTCTTTGATCCTGTCTCTTATCTTCCTAAAGTCTTGGAGTGTCGAAGTCAGAACTCCCCTTTAAGGGAGGGGGGCAGGAAGCCTGCTTCTCCCTCTCCCGCTCCCCCTGCTTGTGTTCCCTCTCTCGCTGTCTTTCCCTCTGTCAAATAAATAAATAAAATCTTTTAAATAAATAAATAAAATCTTTTAAATAAATAAATAAGTAAATAAAAATAAAGGAGGGGGGAGAGATATCGAAAGGGGCAGGGAGGGCACACTCCCACATCGACAATCTTATCCCCTCACATTCTCACCATTACATTTATATGACTGTTCTCCCACCAAACTGTAAGCTTCTATTTTTTTTAAAGATCTTATTAATTTATTTGAGAGAGAGAGAGAAAGCATGGTGGTGGGGAGGGACAGAGGGAGAAGCAGGCTCCCCTCTGAGCAGGGAGCCCAATGTGGGGCTCCATCCCAGGACCCTGAGATCATGACCTGAACTGAAGGCAGCCACTTAACTGACTGAGCCACCCAAGTGCCCCAGAGACTGTGAGCTTCCTGAATGCGGGACCCTGTCCCTGTCATCTGCGGGACCCTGTATTCAGCCGCACAGGTTTTGGCACAGAGTCAGTGCTCCGTGAATGAGTGAGTAAATGTGTGTGTGTTCAGTTGGCTACATCCCAAAACCAAGTGGCAATTTGGGGACGTGCCACTGCGTTTTCTCTTTCACGCTCTGACTCCTTGCATCAATGCCTGCTGAACAACCCAGGGGAAGAGAGGGTATCCAAGGAATAAAGCACCTGGACTCATTTAGAGTGAGAGAACTTCCAGCTGGGAGAGCATCTAGCACCAGCTCTCGAGAGCTGAACTTTGGGGTGGCGTCCACAATCAGCACCAAGCTCCATCACGTCCACTCTGGAAGCCAAGCAGTGTGAAGGCAGCATGCGGAGACGGGCCTCGCCATGTGGCTGCCGCAGGTAGGAAGCCTTCCCCTCATGAACCTCAGAGGGAGTCACCACTCCGTGCCTGGGGACAGCCTGGCCTGCCAGCGTGTCACAACATTGGCAGCTCAGTTCCGTCTAACATATGCTGGGTGTTGGGTGCTGGCGCCACAGGGATGAAGCCAACCCAGCTCCTGCTTTCATCGAGCTCACAAACCAGAGGACACAACGAGGAAGAATCTTTACAATGCATGGCGGGAAGTGCTAGGATGGAGGAATTCCCGGGGGCTATGGGTGCCAAGAGAAGAGAGGCCCAACTTAGCCGGGGGCAGTCAGGGAAGGCTCTCCAGAAGAGGTTACAGTGACAGAATAATACCTGTGAGGTAGGCAGGGCAAAGATTGTTATCTCCATTGTGTAACGGAGGCCACTGAAACTGTGACAAGCCCCAGGGAAACCACACTGCCCTGCAGTCGGAGGAGGTCAGACAGTCCCTGGACTTCTCAAACCTCCATCTCATAGCTGGACATTGCCCAAAAGGCATTCCTAGACCTCTGCTTGAGAATAAGTGGACCTATCATCTACTCCCAGGTTAATTACATTATTTACCAAAAGAATTCAATTCAACCCAACAGGCAGAGGATAGGCTCAGATAGAGCCCATCCCAAGCACGAGGAGGTGAACAGAGAGGCAAAGTCTTGCTGATTCATCCAGCTGCTTTCTGGTAGGTCCAGGGCCAGGGTGGGGGTTTGGTGTGGACAGCTATCCTTGGTGGCCTCCTGAAATATATATTATAGGTCACTTACCATTTTTCTCTGCTGTATTTTTCTTCCATCATAGACATTTCTAAGAGAAATTCCCCCATTCCTCAGATGGGGAAACCACTTATAAAAGGGCACTCAGTAACAAAACAATCTTGAAAAAGAATGAAATTAGAGAACTCACACTTCCCAGTTTCAACACTTTCTACAAAGCTACAGTAATCAAGACAGTATAGTACTGAAATGATGCTGGACGTGTAGATCAATGGAATAGAATTCAGAATCCAGAAATGAACACTCACATTTACAGTCAGTTGACTTTCCAGAAGTGTGCCAAAACAATTCAATAGAGAAACCATAGTCTTTTCAACAAATGGTGCTGAGATATCCACATGCAGAAGAATGAAGTTGAATCCCTACCTCATACCATATACAAAAAATTAAAAATGGATCCTAGTTTTAGTGTAAGAGCTAAAACGACACAGCTTTTAGAAGAAAACATAGACCTAAGTCTTCATGACCTTGGATTTATGTTCTAATAAAAAAATAATCTAGGGGCGCCTGGGTGGCTCAGTCGTTAAGCGTCTGCCTTCGGCTCAGCTCATGATCCCAGGGTCCTGGGATCGAGCCCCGCATCGGGCTCCCTGCCCACTTCTCCCTCTCCTACTCCCCCTGCTTGTGTTCCCTCTCTTGCTGTATCTCTCTGGTCAAATAAATAAATAAAATCTTAAAAAAAAAAAATCTAATGGATTCTCAGAAATGACATCAAAAGCACAAGCAAGAAAAGAAAAAATAGATAAATAACTTCAATAAAATTTAAAACTTTTGTGCTTCGAAGGACAAAAAAGTGAAAATACAATGCACATCATGTGAGAAAATTTTTGCAAATTATATATATCTGACAAGGGACTTACGTCTAGAATATATAAAGAACTCTTACCACTCAACAGTAAAAAGACAACTTGATTTATACATCAATAATGGACTCTAGTAGACATTTTTCCAAAGAAGATACACAAATAGCCAATAAGCACATGGACAGATGCTCCATCGTGGGGCACCGGGCTGGCTCAGTCAATAGAGCATGCAACTCTTGATCTCGGAATTTTAAGTTCAAGTTCTATGTTGGGCATAGAGATTACTTAAAAAATATTTATTTATTTTTAAAAATTTATTTATTTTATTTGAGTGAGAGAGAAAGTGAGTGCCGGTGAGGAGGGGGAGCAGAGAGAGTCTCAAGCAGATTCCGCACTGAGAGCAGAGCCCAATGGGGGGCTTGATCTCATGACCCTGAAATCATGACCTGAGCCAAAAGCAAGAGTTGAATGCCCAACTGACTGCACCACCCAGGTGCCCCAAAAATAAAATCCTTAAAAAAATGAATAAAGAAATGAAGATGCTCCATCTCATCAGCCATCAGGGAGAGGTCAATCAAAACCATAATGGGATATCACTTCATACCCACACCCACTAGGATGGCTAGAATTAAAAAAGGCAGATAATAACAAGTGTTGGTCAGGATGTGGGAAAGTTGGAACCCTCATACACTGCATCTGGGAATGTAGAATGAGGCAGCTCCCTCGGAAAACAGTCTGGCAGTTACCCAAGAGCCTAAACATAGAGTGAGCATATGACCCAGCAATTACTCTCCTCGATATATATT